TTTTTTATATGTAGCAATACAGCAACAGCCGACGTAAGGCTCCCCCGTTTAGCTCGTTTCGCAAATACGTCGTCACTTTATTATTAACACCGCAACCCGATTAGCGTCGCCTCAACCCACACACACTCACGTCGCCTCAACCCACACACACTCACGTCGCCTCAACCCACACACACTCACGTCACCTCTACCCACATACACTCACGTCGCCTCAACCCCACACACACTCACGTCGCCTCAACCCCACACACACTCACGTCGCCTCAACCCACACACACTCACGTCGCCTCAACCCACACACCCACGTCGCCTCAACCCACACACACTCACGTCGCCTCAACCCACACACACTCACGTCGCCTCAACCCACACACTCACGTCGCCTCAACCCACACACACTCACGTCGCCTCAACCCACACACACTCACGTCGCCTCAACCCACACACACTCACGTCGCCTCAACCCACACACACTCACGTCGCCTCAACCCACACACACTCACGTCGCCTCAACCCACACACACTCACGTCGCCTCAACCCACACACACCCACGTCGCCTCAACCCACACACCCACGTCGCCTCAACCCACACACACTCACGTCGCCTCAACCCACACACACTCACGTCGCCTCAACCCACACACTCACGTCGCCTCAACCCACACACACTCACGTCGCCTCAACCCACACACACTCACGTCGCCTCAACCCACACACACTCACGTCGCCTCAACCCACACACTCACGTCGCCTCAACCCACACACACCCACGTCGCCTCAACCCACACACCCACGTCGCCTCAACCCCACACACACTCACGTCGCCTCAACCCACACACACCCACGTCGCCTCAACCCACACACACTCACGTCGCCTCAACCCCACACACACTCACGTCGCCTCAACCCACACACACTCACGTCGCCTCAACCCACACACCCACGTCGCCTCAACCCCACACACACTCACGTCGCCTCAACCCCACACACACTCACGTCGCCTCAACCCACACACACTCACGTCGCCTCAACCCACACACACTCACGTCGCCCCAACCCACACACCCTCACGTCGCCCCAACCCACACACACTCACGTCGCCTCAACCCACACACCCACGTCGCCTCAACCCCACACACACTCACGTCGCCTCAACCCCACACACACTCACGTCGCCTCAACCCACACACACCCACGTCGCCTCAACCCCACACACACTCACGTCGCCTCAACCCCACACACACTCACGTCGCCTCAACCCACACACACCCACGTCGCCTCAACCCACACACACCCACGTCGCCTCTACCCACACACACCCACGTCGCCTCAACCCACACACACTCACCTCGCCCCAACCCACACACACCCACGTCGCCTCAACCCACACACACTCACCTCGCCCCAACCCACAAACACTCACGTCGCCTCAACCCACACACACTCACGTCGCCTCAACCCACACACACCCACGTCGCCTCTACCCACACACACCCACGTCGCCTCAACCCACACACACTCACCTCGCCCCAACCCACACACACCCACGTCGCCTCAACCCACACACACTCACCTCGCCCCAACCCACACACACTCACGTCGCCTCTCAGCCTCTGCATCCACCACCCGCTGCCCTGTGAATCGCTTTGATTGACGTCGTTTCGATATTCGTCGGCGCACCTTTCAGGAACGCATCCCCGACGTAAACGGGGTGTTCCTGCACGTTATTGATTTACAGAGTTAGAGGTCAAAGTGCAGCCATGAAATGTCTTGCCCGCGCCAATGATCCCTGCACTAGAGGGAGCTCTGTCGAGGTGTTTTTGGCCTCCTCTTCCACGCTGGCCCATATTTGCTGTATGTAAGAGGTGGAAGTACCCACACTGTGCCCACCACACACGACCCGTGGTGTCTCTCAAGGCCGTAGCCATGGAGTCAACATTGGGGGGAGACCAAATCTTCCAGGGGGTCTGGGGGTCCCCCCCTCCAGAAAAAATTCTACATTTGAAAACTAATTTCCTGCCTAAAATATTAAAAAATCACGAACACATGGGATGGACTTTTATTGAATTTTTTACAGTAATGTCAAATAGTGTTTTGTATTACATTTCTGTTTTTCTTTTTTACCTTTTCTTGTTTCATTGTATGTAATGGCAGAGATTAGGGATTAATAAAGTACAACCATAACCACAACCATATAAACAGAAATCTATTTTATAGCAATATATTGGGGGAGACATTTTAAGCATATTTGAATATTGGAGGGTATGTGTTTCCCCTAATTTCTATTATAATTACGGCCTTGGTGTATCTATTTATACTACTGTGTGGGCAGAGGGGGGGGGGGGATTTATGAAACTTGCACCGTTGGTTCAGCTGCCACGCCGGGAGATCGAACTGGCGACCTTTAAATTTCAAGTCCAGCATGGTAACCTTGACACCACGGCAACATCCCTTATTTTTCATGTAAAGTTGTACACATGACCCTGGCAAATATTGCCTTTCTCTTGAGAATACACCTTGACATGTAACGTCCACTTTACTACTGGCAGCGAACTTAGACAAAGCCCTTCAGAAAATTGCAGGAAAAGGTGGAATCTCATCTAATGAACCCTGTACGTCTCCCACCTCATTGGCACGCATGCTAGCCACTGGCTTGTACTTTCAGCCAAACCGCTCTGCTTCTCTGCTGTGCCTGATGCTCGAGAGGAGGATGTCCCTATGTGGAGGCTTCCCAGGCTGGGTGGGAGTCACTTTTCGCGTAAGACTCCACACTCGCTCCCACTGTGAATAATGACGCCACTCTCTGATCGTGCCGACACCGTCGGTGGCATTTCGAATGCGCCTTTATAAATTGCGTGCTCAAGTGTCTCGTTGAATCACAGCACTGCCCTTTCAATTGATTTTCTTTTTAATTAGTCATTGTAATCACCAGCCCTGATTCGTCCACTGCTGGTTGAAGGTCTCCCCAACTACAACAACAACAACCGTCGTTCACCACTAAGTGGTGGTGCCGTCACCACGGCGCTTGCGCCAGGCTATGTGCACTTCGAGGCCACGTGAAGTGTGAAGTGTCAAACGCCCGCTGGCAGTAGGGTCACGGGACAGAACTGGGTGCCATGGGTTGAAGGCCTCCGCCCACCGTTGCCATCCGAAGCGGTCTCGCGATGCCACACGGTACATCTCGCTCCCGCACACGAGACGATCTCGTCTGGCTCCTATCCGCAGTGGTCATCCTCTTGGGCAGGGCTTGGTAATCGGCGGCTCTTTGCGGACAGAAGTTGTTATAATTTTTTAAAAACTTAAATCTTATTTAAATCTTATTTAATGAAAAGAAAATGTATTAAATAAAGGCAGGGGAATGGGTCACTATGGAATGTCTTGGTGACAACAAAATGTGCAACAGTCAAATTGTTATTGTTAAAGAATAACTAAGGGTCGGGGGGGGGGAAACAAAATAAACGCAGTTTATTCCATAACCTATTTTGTTTATTTAAGTCAGAATGTCTTTGTCATTTGCTGTATACCAGTTGCCATGCTTGTGTGCACGTGACTCTGCGTGTGATGCGGCTTTAAAACACTTTTTTTTTTATCAAAGACAAATACAAATAAAATGTCTCTTCTTTGAAAGGTTGCCTACTCCTGCTCTTGGGCGTGTTCTGTCCTTCTGACTGCCATTCCGTCACCAGTCTCGTCCACAGGCCGTCGTCTCATCTGGCGATGTGTCCTGCCAGAGCCAATTTACTTTCCTGAATAGATAGCAAGCTCTTTATCGCAAAAACCTCATTACACACCGGGCCAAACATTAATCAACGTCAGCATTTACATGGAGCCGAGCATAACTTTGTGTAAGCAATTTTCAAACGTCCAAACAGAGACGTAACAAAGACGTTGCAGTTTTTTACAACAAAGTCATTAATTGAAGAAAGTATTTTTTATTATCAGCAAAATGCTATGAATGTTCAATTCAAAACATCACAGAGCCTTGCTACATTTCTAACATGCTCCTTTTTAAAAATTTATAGTTCAAAGGGTATTTTGCAATTCCATGACATGTAGCGATGTAACGCGTCCCGAATGTACGTTATTATGGTTCTATGTTTAACTTTGTCTCATGAGATGTTTTGAATAGCGTTCATTACTTGTGATGTTTATACGTGTCCACCCGGCTGGCGGTGATGTGGTTAGAGTTCTTCACAAAAAAGCAAAAGATTTTGAGTTCAAGTCTCGGTTGGGGAGTGACTTCAAGGATCAATGAAGTGATCACTACTTTGTGCAAAACAAATCGAATCGAATCGTTAGTACATATGGTATCCGCGTAATTTTTATAATGCAAGGCTATCACAACGGCGCTATGTTTCAGAGTCGTTTACAGTCTGAGATCTGCGAGTTAAATTGTAAGTTTGGGAAAATGTTGACCGTGTCACCGGCACATAATGGCCGATTCCTTTTCGAATAACATCGCGCAATCTTCGACATTCACGATGAAGCGGACAGCGAGTATTCATGGCTAATACGCCTTCCGTATTAACCGGGGCAGCCGTGGGTCACAAACTGCGAATCTCCACGAGACGCAGCAAACACGCCACTGCAGGGACACGACAAAGATAAAGACAAACATCTCTCATATAGCCTTAACAGACCATTGGGGCAAGTGCTGTTAGCGAGCATTTATGAAGGCCGACACGGCACACGAGTGGGTGGGTGGCCAGTACCACACCGGGCCGCCTTTGTCTCCCCAGTGGTGATGTTTATTCACCACTGCATGTACTCATTTTAGAATCAGTCAACCTTGGGTAGTCCCAGGACCGTTTCAGATGATGACCGCTGGTGTTGGCCGTGATAAGGAATCGGACTCTGGTCACCGGGTTCGTAACAGAGCGCGCTAACCACTGCACTACCGCTTCCCACGGCTGACACGGAGCTCCGCATACACACGCCACATGTCACACGCAACGTGTTCACACGCAACGTGTTCCTGTGTGTGTGCGTGCGTCTGCAGAAACCTGGGGCGATCGGGTCTCCGTGTGTCCTGCCTCGGACTGGGTGAGTGATGGGTAGCATTTCCATCTAAAGTCGGCGTGTATGATGTGCTTTGTGATATTTATGCTTGTGATTATGAGCGCTCAAACATAACATTGACCTTCCGAGGCTGTCAATGCCATAATTTGCTTGCGTACATGAAACGGCAAGAGGCAGATGTCTTGTGGTGCTAAAAAAAACAAAATGGGAAAAAATTAATAGCATTTTTTCAGCGGATAAATCGGTGGGATTCCCACACTATACAGTAAAAAAACACTTTTACATGAAGAGAATCTCTTTGCCTCGGATTAATTTAATTAAAAAGTAACAATGGCACACCGGGGCACATTGCCCTGGGACGCATTGAGGTTTAATTAACGAGAGGTGCAGAGTTCCAGATGCGTTTCGCGGATAGCTAAACTCGCGGATAGCAAGTTCGTGAATAACGAGGGAATGCTGCGTACAGAAATACCTCGGTTTATGCCCTCCCGATCTACGTATTTTCTCTGTCACGTACTTGGCTTATTGTTACCATTGTACCGTGGTAACCTCCCCGTAAGGTACTCGACATTTACGAACTTTACTGCTGAGACCCAACATTGTTTAGAGGTCGACCATAAATGACGTCACGCGATTTTTGACGATTTTTGACCCCCCCCCCCCTAGTCACACGGCGTCACAAAAAGTCAGACCCCCCCTCAAATATGACGTCACAAAGCTCTGCCCGCCCCCCCTCCCCACAAAAATAAAACATGCTTCAAATCGCTTTATTGTCATTGTAGTGTGTATTTAATGTGGCGCTGCACTCTGATGTTGTAGGAGAAAACATTTATTTAAAAAGTATATTTAATTAAGTAGAACGTATTGTCTATATTTATTTAAAGTTGCGCATTTTGATGTGACGTCACATTTCTCCAACCCCCCCCCTCGTCACACATCGTCACAAATGTCTGACCCCCCCCCCCAGATGCGTGACGTCATTTATGAACGGCCCCACACTTGCTACTCTATTCATATTTCCCCCCACTTACCTATTTATGGCGATTAAAAACAATCTTCTTGGTTCTTTCGGTAAAGTCACGTAGAATTGAAATAACAAAATAATAAAAATAAAACATAATCAAATAATAATCACGACGTGACTTTACCGAAAGAACCAAGAAGATGAATCCCTGCAGTCACGAAAGCTTTAAATCGAAATCTAAAAACAATATTTACGTGATCAACAACGAATGATAATCATGCACATAATACAATACACAAGGTCATATATCTTAATATATTCATAATATGCATTTACTTTTCACACCGGTGGTTGTACAAGATAGATGCGCTATGGGTTACTGAGAATGCTCTGTTTAGGTTCTGCACCACAGTACGATTTACCATCCCATTTCGAGTAGTAGTACTAGTACTACTACTACTACTAATAGGTACTATACCACGTTTTGATCCACCATCCCATCTCTTTGCTTCGATTGAAGTATTTACTTTCTGGTTTTCAGGAACGCATCATGGACGTAAACGGGGGTATGCATGTACAATAAAAAGCTGTAAATATGCCCCTGTGTATTGATTTTGTTACTTATATTCTCCAAAACGAAGCCAATGATGATTGCGTGTTATCAGATATATCTCTAAATCTAATTGATTAAGTGTTCTCAATCATACAAGCTAATACAATTCTAAACTCCACACCGAATGATACAAGAATACACTTGTATGAACATACAGCCATGTGATACTCTAAACTAAACTATTTTTTATTTTATCAGGTGAGGCCCACTGAGCTATGTAGCTCTTTTTTAGAAGCGACCTCGGCCACAAATGATATCTCAATGAAGTCGCTTATCACGTGGACATTTACAGCAGTTAAAATACACTAAACGCGTGATGTTAATTCTAAACATGGAGGTTGAAAACCGGAGGACCCGGAGAAAAAAAATCCATGCAACCACAGGCAGAGAGATATGCAAACTCCAAATACACAGCAGGTGTCAGGGTCGGGATCGGGATCGAACCCACGACCTCCTTTGTACCAGAAGAGGGAGTTTACCTCTCGCCGCCGCGGCAACCTCGAGAACAAAGGCAGAATAATGATAATCACCGTGCTTACCGTATGAATGCCTCTGACTTAACCTTTGTGCTGCAGTGCTAACACGGCTAAATAATGTCGATTGTTAAACATGAAGGGAAGTGCTATTGTCTTGATGAGAAAACCAACGTTTGGGTACCACTTAATTGTATACATTTCAACCACTTCATCCCAATAACCTCACCAATTGAACCATTCCGAAATAAATGTGGGCACATCTGTCACAATGCTCGCTACGCACGCGTGCCTGTTACCCAGCACTGTGGAAGCAGCGAGGGTTGGTGGTTCGCACGAATGTTTCAAAACTCCTTTCCCGCGAGCGTCGAGAAGGGACCATGTACCCTGGCGTGCCAGAGCAGTGCAGACTCATCTCACCTGCCCCTTCTGTAATGGGATTGAGTGTTGCTCCATCGCACGAGAGGATTTTCTCCAGGTGCTCCGGTTTTCTTCCCACACGTACAAACACTCGTTAATGACCACATCTTAATAAACAGAGGATCGTAGAGCTTGGGAAATTATTTGTCTCCAGCTCATTGTATGGTTTGCTGTCTTTCCCGTCGAGCGTGAGCGAATACTGTGCAGCGGGCGACGCTTTTACAAGCTTTCAATGATCGTTGTCAGAGTCAATGTCTATTCATTACGTGTTTGTGCATTTCTTCGCAGGAACGTGGGTGACATTTGGAGGGCAGATCAGTGAAGAGGTGGGCAGGGACGCGAGGCTCCTCTTGTTCACAGGCTGAGTGGGCAGCCAATTGTCCCAATTAGCGTACCACGCTGACTTTCACATGTAGGAGGCTAACGAGACGATCTGCGTACCATTGCAATGCCACCGCCTGCCAGCCTCTCCGTTAAGGGCCTAGCAGGTGGTATCAGTTCTGATTAAACCGGGTACATTAGAATTCAATTAAGGAAATTGATTTGCTCTGTTATTGGCATTAATCTCAATTAGCCAATGCCAGTTCTCAGACGGGAGTCACTGCCTCCCCACATTCTGTTAAGGCCACTCCAGCCAGGGTTGCCAACTGTAGGTAGCTGTCCCAGTATTGTGAGATGTTATTATTCACCTTACATCATGAGACCTCCTTTGCCAGTACCAAAATATAAGAATAGGTTTTTCCCATTTTTTTCTGGCAACCAAACTGAAACCTTTTTACAAGGAATCATGTCTGCATTAACCACAATACTTGTGGTCAGAATGCAAACAAAACACACACTCTGATAATATATGCATTGTCTTTGAAACTGATTGGTCCACACCAGAGACAGCTTTCTTTTGAGCCTCGTCTCAAACGGTGCTAGACCAGAAGGAAGGTCAAGGAGCTCATTGAACTAATTTTCCCTCGTGGGTCAAGAAAATACTGTCCGTACAACTTCATGAGGGTGTCAACTTTGGCTGACCCAATGAGGCACCGGGTCCGCACCATCGGGGATCTTTTAATTTCCACGACTGCTCTGCTCCACGCAGGGAGACGCCGTGGAGTTGTGCCACGTGCTGCTGGCGTTCCGCGTTAATTCGCGAAGGATACGTTCCGGGGATGCTCGTGAAAACCAATAAATAAATATATAGGCTAATAAATACATGAAAATAAAGTTTCTCTCTCATCACTTTACCTCATCACTTTCTCTCATCACTTTACCTCAAAACTTTCTCTCTCATCACTTTACCTCATCACTTTCCCTCTCATCACTTTATCTAATCACTTTACCTCATAACTTTCTCTCTAATCACTTTACCTGATCATTTTCTCTCATCACTTTAACTCATCACTTTCCCTCTCATCACTTTCTCTCATCACTTTATCTACGCCTCTATATAAGGACAGAAACAGGTGGACTTCTCCACAAATCTGGCTGTCGCCTGATGAAGCTAGTTGTAATTACAATGCAAAACGTCGTACTCTGTAAATGTTGTGGCTTGGCTCTCCAACATACAACCGGTGTGCTGTACTAGTGACGAATTGGCGACGTTCTGTTTACGTGACAACCCTTACTAGTTGGCTGTGTCGGGTAGTGGCGGGTTTAACAACACATTTATATAATTCCGCGATCTTACCCAAAAACCTCTATTATGGATGATATTGGTCGCGAAAGCCTCCGTGTTAGACTGCATTATTACTGCCCCCTGCTGTCCACGGACCCTTTGTGTTTAAACTGCGCACCTTCTACGGGGTGCACTGCCCAGCTCTCATCCCCTCATCATGTCCAACAGTGGAAAGACAACTCCATTGGAATAATATTCAAGAGACAAAGGGGCCGAACGTGGACCAGAGACCAACCAATAACCAACAAGGCAAATCACCAGTCCCGCTCACTTTAAATAAGCGAGAGAGGGCTTGCGTAGCACGGGTCCCTTGAAGAGACGGGCAGGCTTACACTGAAAATTAATGTGCAAGGTAGTCTGTGGCCAGGTGTTGCACATTTCTGTGCGACATGAGGTGGTGGAAGTTAGCATGTTTTTGTTGTCGTTGTTGCTGTTGTTAAATGACAGCAGACATTGATACGTGTGTTTGGTTACTATCAAAGAGCGTATTGCACAAATGTACTTATTTCGTGCAATACTTATGCCTCGCAGCGAGAGTGACCTTGGTTCGAATCCCGACTTGGGCGCATTTATTGTGTGGAGTTCTGTATGTTCTCCCCACTGTTCTGGGAATTTATTGTGGGTTCTCAGTGTTTCTAATCACTAAAAAAATAACTCCCACAATGTAACCGGAATTGGCCAAACATCCAAATGCTTAAATATGACCTGCCAATTACTCAACTGGGATTTCACATAGCAACAGGCCCCTTCAAAATAAAGGCCTTTGAGTTAGGCTTTCCTGGCCGAGCAAGTGTAAAAGTGATAATGAATAAACTGCTGTCACCAAGGTTGCAGCTTCTCGGCTGGCACCAACGTCTGCTATGATCCACAGATGGTGGGTGCAAGAACTAAGAGGGACTGCAGAATAATGAAACCGGGGCACTCGTGGGACCGCACTGGATTACCGCCGCACTGGATTAGTGCCACCACTGTGCCCATTTGAGCAGCGGGGTGCCACTAATCTCTGTTGGCGGCCCTAAGCCAGTGGCGGAAATTCTGTCACTTTTACAGCAGGGACCAGTCACACTATTAGACGGCCGCTGTTGACTTCACGACTGTGCGATCTGCGTCGTGCCGCGCGATGAGCATCTGCCACGGGTGCCTGTGCGTGCAGCTTCGCGGGATATATTCACATGCACGATTGCCAGTGAGTGTGCGTACGAGCAGGCAGGCAGGCAGGGGTGACATACGTGCGGCGTGCGCGCACGGGTAGCCGTGGTGCTGGAAACATCTAGGACCGCTCGCTGTGTTTACACGTGCGGATTTCCACAGGTGGCGGAGCAGCTCATGACGGCGGCGTACGACCATGGCGTGAACCTGTTCGACACCGCAGAGGTGTACGCTGCGGGGAAGTACGTGGTAGTAATATATTTATCAACAATAATGTTATTACAATAATAACGCACCAACGGATACCCTCACATTCATGGCAGCGCTATTGCGGACAGCGCTGAGGTCAGAGTGCAGGGTGCGTCAATTGTGGGGGTGCTCATCATTGTTGGTGGCCCTGAGTTGGCAGTGGGAATTTCTGCGTTTATACTCCCTCCATGTGACTATCACGCTTGACTCCCCTCAAAGGGATGACAGGCTGAGTGGACGCCCGACTTTTTTTTTTGAGCGGACATCCAATCGGTTGTGAATTGAGCGCTGTGACCACAGCATTATTTGATCAGATGCACAGAGATGTGACATACAAAACAATTACAAGATATTTTTGGTTCTTTCGGTAAAGTCACGTAGAAGGTAAATAATAAAATAATAAAAATAAAACAATAAAATTCTCACGATGTTTCGATTGCAACACAAGCAATCATCATCAGGTGTGAAAACCACAGCAAGAAATTTTTCACACCTGATGATTGCTTGTGTTGCAATCGAAACGTCGTGAGAATTTTATTGTTTAATTTTTATTATTTTATTATTTCCTTTCTACGTTACTTTACCGAAAGAACCAAGAATAAGAATCCCTGCAGTCACGAAAGCTTTAAATCGAAAATTACAGGATAGTTTAATAACAATTTTCAAACCTTGCTTCAATCTGCTGCTGGATGAAGGCTTTCCCTCCCTTCCCCGACCGTGATGGTCACATGAGGCTGATTGACCATTCCCTGCTTCTTGCAAATTGGTGATAGCGAGGGCAAAGATAAATTGGGACCTCACTCTCCATTGGGCATCTGTGAAAAAAGCCTCACAGCTCATCGGATTCCTCCAGTTTACATAAAAGATTCTTCTTCTTGGTTCTTTCGGTAAAGTCACGTAGAAGGGAAATAATAAAATAATAAAAATAAAACATTATATAATAATTCTCACAACGTTTCGGCCACAACGCAAGCAGCCGTCCTCAGGTGAAGAACAAGTCTGTCGGAAAGACAGCATCTGAATGTTTCAGACGCTGTCTTTCCGACAGACTTGTTTTATTATTTCCCTTCTACGTGACTTTACCGAAAGAACCAAGAAGATGAATCCCTGCAGTCACGAAAGCTTTAAAACGAAATAAAAGATTCTGATATCAGCTGTGGCTGGCAATCAAACTAAGGTCCACTGTGCACCTCGCACACCATACTGCCACCTCTCCCCCTTGCTTACCCGTATATATTTAGTTTAAATTAATTATACGCATGAACAATGCCTTATAAATAGAATCGACAGTTGATATTACATGGGGACATTTTTTAAGCTGGTGCTGAGACACGTAGTTTTAAAAAAAGATGTTGTGAAAGTGACGTGCTTGTAAATTGTTTTTGGCAATCCTCTACGACTCTGGTGTCACCATCAGCCCCTCATCCACGCACTTACTCACACAGCCACTCACCCAGCCACTCACCACTGGTGTCACCATCAACCGCACGGGAACGTCATCAGCAGGCCGATGTGCACATCTCCTTCATGAATGTCAAATTAAAAACGCAAGCCACAGTGGTGCGATCGTGGCCATGCAATCCAAACCATGGACCATACTTTACGCCAATGTAGTCTGCGCTTCTTTCATTGAGGAGTAGACATGTAACGCAAACTCTCTCCTGAAGCCTTCTCGTGGCTAGCAGCAGACCTCGACTTTGGCATTTAGCTCCTGATCACATTGCCATGAGCAAGAATATAATATAATTGTGTGTCTCGATCTCTGCTCGTTGCGTTAGACGCTGTCTGTCCATCATTTCACTTCACAGCACTGATTAGCCTCTTTGCTCTCTTAGTGTCCGTTGACCTCATTAAGTTTTTTTTCCCGCAGGGCAGAGGTGATCATGGGGAATATCATCAAGAAAAAGGGCTGGAAGTGAGCGGCATTGCATTTGCTGATGGCACACACACACACACGTGCTTTCTTTTGTAGTTTAAAATACATGTTTGTCAAAGGTCGAGTTTGACTTCTACGGCTTTGGGAGTGGGCGGCAGGGGTTCGCTTTGTCCCGCACATTCGGAATCGCGGGTGCATGTAATTTCTTACAAATGTTAATTGTAAATGATTGAAAATGAATTAATAAAGGTGCCCAGTTTGGGCAGGGCGTTGCCCCTTCCCCGTGCCCCCCGCCCCTCCCCGCAAACTCCACCCATGATATTCGTTTAAAATGTTTTATTGCTGATAATAGTCGTTAACTGCGATCATTGTTCATATCTATGCAGCTTAAGGAGCACAACAATAAACAGCAATACATGAATCATGAAATATGTACCAGGACATAATGAATAATTCAACATCAGCATTTATGACAAACTTGCAAACCGTACATTAGGGGGAGTGGGCAGGGCAGCGTTTGGAGTGTCATTGATCTGAGAAGGAAGGTGCTGAAGATTACCTCGTGTGCACTTTTTTGTAGCTTGCTGATGTTGAGTATTCCCTCGGAACCATCAAAATGTCCGAGTAAACTTTTGCTCGTGGCTTTGTCTGGCTGCCAAAAAGTGTCTCTGCGTTCCAATGAGCACTGGCCGTTGCTCTTCTTCAACGGGGGGCTCCGGTCCAGTGGCAGAAGTTCCACGTTCTTATGGCGGGACCAGTTTATCCGTGGGACAACTTCGGTTGACTTACCACACGGTCATTGTTTACGAGGTGGTACTTAGTTTACCCAACCTAGGAGAGATGATGTGCCTAAGTCAAAACCCTGGCTGCTTCTCTACCAATTGAGCTCTGCCCAAGCCCTATGTGTGGTTTGCTACGGATAGACTGGCCCTTGCCATGGTAATGTGTAATTTCCACCACGATATCCGGATCACCAAAAGACTTTGTTTGGTTTTGAGAATCGTTGCGGTAGGTAGGTTGTCACAAGCTATGTTAATCTGTTTGTTTATTGTGTTTTAGGCGATCAAGTCTGGTGATCACGACCAAAATCTACTGGGGAGGGAGGTAAGTAACACCAGTTCACTTCTCCTACACATTCCCCCATTCTAATACATCTGGTATTATGTTAGACGAGTCCCAATGATCGCGTCAGTAGGCTGCTGGCTCCAGGTCAGGAGACTGCTGTCTGATTTATTAATGAAAGAGAACACGACGTTTCGGTCGCAACACACGCGTCCGTCTTCAGGTGAGAAAGAATGATCTGCTGTTGTGGCTTTATTTAGAGCCAGATAATTTCTTCTCACCTGAAAACGGACGCTTGTGTTGCGACCGAAACGTCGTGTTTTCTTTTATTATCTTTTCTATCTACGTGACTTTACCGAAAGAACCAGAGGAGTATAAAGGTGAATGTCGAAGATCATAAAGATGATGTTGAAATGAAGATGATCAATGAATACGATGTTAAATGAAGATGATGAATGACGATGTTGAATGATGATGAATGAAGACGATGGTGAATGAAGATATCAGATTGATGATGGCATGATGATGACACGTGTCTGGCCTCTCCTCTTTGCCGCACAGAGCGGAGACGGAGCGAGGCCTCTCGCGGAAGCACATCATCGAAGGTGACACCGCCGCCACGAGCTCCGCTACTAGCGCAACACCGCAGCACCGCAGTCGCCGAGAGTGACACGCGGCACGCCGCCGCCACCGTCGCTGATCGATGAACGGCTGCCGCTTCTCCCATCACGTCCTAGCTGGAGTCGTGCGACTCCGTGTGATTTACCTGAAGCGTTTCGAAGCGTCGCTTCGAGTCCACACCGTGCGGTGCTGCAGACTCTGCGGCCTGAGAACTCCTCTCATTCCTATCTGAGTACTCTGTACGGACGTATTGGCGGTACACCGGTGGTGCGTGGAATATAGAAAAGAAAACAAAGAAGCAAAATTTTCGCAATAATTATTTATTTCCCCGCGATTCGCAAACCCCGGTCAGAAAATCTTGCGGGGCGGTGGTGCGTCAAAATCAGTTCTCGCGATTTCAAAGCAGTCGGAAGACGAATGTCAGTTCAAATTTGGATTTTAGACTGTTGTATGTGGACCGCTGTGTTATGCTGCATCGGTGTACCGCCAATATGTCCACATGTATATAATATTCTTATTTTGGTGTATGCAACTTCTACATTAGTTACACATTTGCGACGTGCAATACAGTATGTACGTGTACACGCACAGCTGTTTTGTCAATCTACTGCTGGATGAGGCCTGCCGACGTTGTGTGGGTCACAGAGTGGTTATTTTGTGTTTGGTTTGTCGCCCTTTCCCGCACCTCCGATTAGCACTCTTGGCTCCGTAACGGTGGGAGAGAAGTCCAATGTGTGTACATACACATATTTCACCATACTATACCAGGCTGGTCAGTGCAATTTGGTGAAGGCAGGGATCAATAGACGTGGGAGCACATGAGTACAGTACAGTTCAAACACATTATTTTGCTGCACTGCCCATCAGATGGCCCCGCAGCAGCCTATAACAACCTGTTGTGCACGGTGGTCGTCCGTCCAAGCACTCTCCAGGCTACATCCTGATTAGCTTTTGAGGCCTGACGAGATCGGGAGCATTCTGGCCGATTGGGTCACGAGACAGAACGTGGACAGCAGCGATAACGATTGCACCTTCTACCGTGGGATTGACAACTATTGACTGAAGCTTTTCCGGGAACGTTTTTCTCTCTCCATTCTCTTGAAACATGACGCAATGACACGATGCATTCCGTGTTGTGTCATTTACGCTGGCAAGGGAAAATAAAATAAACTCTATCAGACGGTATGTTTGTATCGTGTTGAACTTCTTTCGCACCGTACGTAGCTAACCATGCTAATCGGAGGTGCGGGGAAGGACCACAAAAACGAAGCCGTGATGTATTCGCAATGAATGAACTTCCGTGCGAATCACGTGCGTTCATTATATTCACGTAATTTCTAAAACTGATCCTGTTGTTAAAATCTCCCGGATTGTATTTCAATAGTTAACGGGGAGATCGACGTCCATTCCGGGAGAGACTCCCCGGCCGATCCGGGAGTGTTGGCAAACCCCGCTTTTTCGCGTCTCTGCGACCTACGCCGCCACCACCACCATCCCACATCACTTCGTCTCCCACGCCATTAGCACGCCCTTGTCTCCTCCCTTGCTGTCTGCCCCCTCTACGGCCACTATGTTCCCCTGCCCCACCTCGTCGTCTTTATTCACACCTCCGGCCCCATTGTCCCTTGCGCACCCCTCCCCCTACCTTGCGCGGCCACTCTTCGTGACTCCCCCTTCCATTTCTCTCTCACTCTGCCCCGTAACTACCCCCACGTGTTGCCATCAAACCCGTCGCGCTTTGCCAGGGCTGGCCGGCTCGCTGCAGCGGCTGCAGCTGGACTACGTGGACGTGGTGTTCGCGAACCGGCCCGATCCCAACACGCCCATGGAGGAGGTGGTGCGTGCCATGAGCCACGTGATCGCGCAGGGCCGTGCCATGTACTGGGGCACGTCGCGCTGGAGCAGCGCCGAGATCATGGTACGGCCCCAGCGCCGCACACGCGAACAGCCGGTGTCTCTTAGCGTGGTTTACCCCCCCCCACCGCACAACCGAGCCGAGCCAAACCAGCCCGGCACGGCTCAGGAGACGCCACATTGTGTTTCCACTGCAGAAGCCGAGCCGTGCTGCCGATGTCGCATGCACAGTGAGTCGAGACGCACGTCGATGACATGGTGACGCTGTGCCATCGCTGTGTACCGACATCACACGCAATTAAATTGCGATCAGCCCCATCCCTGACCCTGCTTGGCCCCAAGCTGGTTTCACGTGCATTGTGAGGCCGGTATATGACGCTTTGGTTCTGGCTCGGCGCGGCAAATATTCATAGCCAGTGGAAAATTGTCCGATCCCGCGCTGGCTCGGCTCGGAATCACTGATGGAGATGAGCACCCACACCGGTTGATTTAGTGCACGGTACAGCGGTGTATCTCACTGCACACACTGGCGTGCGTGGTGCGTGTATGTTCGAATCAGAATCTTTATTTATGCTGGAATAATCCGATGAGCTATGAAGCTCTTTTTCACTGATGCCCAGTAGGCAGTGGCGAAAGTGGGTAGTGCATTGTACTCCAAATCCGGGGACCTGGGTTCAATTCCCGGCCATGGTTAACATCAGTGGCAAATGATATCTGAACTGCTCCTGGGCCTTCCGTAATAGTACTTGGCGCAGTATGTATGCACTGGAAAGACAAAGGTGGTCGGGCGTGGTGTCGGCCACCAACTCCCTCGTGTGCTGTGCTGACCTTCATAGGTGCTACTCGTTAACAACACTTGGCCGTACAATCAGTGTAGGTCACACAGGGGATCTCTGTTTATAATATTTTGATTGTTTGGCTGCTTTACATTTCCACGTCATAAACCACTTCGTTGAGCCATCGTTTGTGGCCAGGTCACTTCTAAAAAAGAAGCGAATAGTTAAATGGGCTTTACCTGGTAAAATAAACATCGATTTGTATTTTGTTTTAGTGATTTTATTACCTTTCCTACACTTTGCACTCCTATCGTATGTTCGTATTGTGTGCTGCTGTGACATCCTGACCCGTCCCTACTGGACATCTGTGCAAAAAAAGAACAGATGTTTTACTGCCGGTCGGTGGTGTTGCAGGTCAACAATAAAAACCCCTCGATACACAGCACTGGAGCCGTGTCCGCGTAGGAAGTGGTCCCTTGGGATCACGGGACCATGGGGTGAGACGTAGGAGACTGCGCGGTTTCACTCACAGTTGTATATGGTCATCGTTGCTGATTGAAAACGGAAACAAGATCGTGACGAGGGTGAACACAGAGCTCACCAGTAAGCGGGTGGCCCGTGCGGTGAATATTGAATTCATCTGCAGCCTCTTTCTTATTTTGATATTGTTTGTTGTTGTTGTAACGTTCTGACCACGTGGCCTGACTGGACATCCGTGCACAAAGAGCTTTTATAGCACATCGCATTCCTCCAATGTAAATAAAGAATTCGATTCTTGCAGGAGGCCTACTCGGTGGCGCGTCAGTTCAACCTGGTGCCACCGGTGTGTGAGCAGGCCGAGTACCACCTCTTCCAGCGCGACAAAGTGGAGATGCAGCTGCCAGAGCTCTACCACAAGATCGGTGAGAGACCTCCTGTGCCAGGAGGGCCCACATTTACTATCATTATTATGATTATCAGTGAACATTTAATGGACAGCTGAGGTGGCCGGGTGACTGACTGCTGATTCACTGGACATCTTGTGAAAAAAAAGAGCTTTATAGCTCATCGGATTCCCCCGGTATAAATAAATGTTCTGATTCTGGAGACTTGGACCATAGAGACCTCGGATTAAAATCCAGACACTCTGGCGATTAAATTGTGGTCCTCAAGTCTAGTGGCTATATTTACTTTCAGGTGACTGCACACACAACGACAGCAAAAATCGTCATTAAAATTGTTTCTGGGAAGGTGGCTTGGCTCTCCAACACACTGGCGTGCTGTACTAGTGACGAATTAGCACGTTCTGTTTACGTGACAGCCCTTACTAGTTGGCTGTGTCGGGTGGTGGCGGGTTTTAACAACACATTTATATATTTACGCCATCTAACCCAAAAAACCTCTATTTTGGATGATTTTGGTCGAGGAAACATACGTATTAAACTTCTGGGAAGGTGTTGCCCCCTACTGTGAAGATTAGATGCATAGTTGCATAGTTCTGTGGGTCCTTCTTTAACTTGGGGGGTTGAACTCATTTTCTACTGGATCGGTCCTCCCATCACACCCTGCATTTCAAATAACATTACAATACAATATTTGTTTGCATTGTTTGTTGTTGTAACTTGCTGATCTGCCCTTAGTAGACATCTGAAAAAAGAATAACTTTACAGCTCATCCGATTCCTCCGGGATAAATAAAGATTCTGACAATACTGCACATATAGTGCATGCACACAGCCTTGTTTTAGAACACCTACTCAAAACAGACAAACTTATGGGCATATTATTTTGAGGCAGCAGTGGTCGGACAATGTGATATATGTATACGGTTTCATCCTTGTTATGAATCATTTGTAAAGTACAGGGTGCTTCAAAAATGTTAACACTTACATGGGACTATCGTTTTAGTGAAAAAAAACCCGGATAATACACTGTAACATGATAACAAAAGTATATTAATAGCTTCAAAAAGTCAAAGAGTCTCTACTTGTTCGCCATCGTTGTCAACGCGTGCCTGGAATCTTCTCCAGGTGGTCTCCAGAGCCCGGAGGCACATTTCTTGCGGTATCGTTGCAAATTCTCAGAAGTTTTACAATTTTTTCTAAGCACCCTATATAGCCATCGTTAGTTTGCATGAGTTTCATATGTCTTGTGTCTCTGTGTCTTTGTGTGTGTGTGTGGCACAGGCGTGGGTGCCATGACATGGTCCCCGTTGGCGTGTGGGCTCCTGACTGGGAAGTACGAAGACGGGATCCCAACCTCCTGCCGAGCAGGACTGAAGGTGACTGTACCAGCAACAGTGGCAGCAGCATCACACGTACACCCACCACGTGCACACGCGTGTGCATAGAGCTAACGGGAGTGCGCCCCCTCGCCAAACAGCCACGGGCTCACAGTCATCATTACACACAAAGTGCTCGCCGCAAATGAACCACAATACCTTTCTGATCTCGTCAAGGAGCATAAATCATCACGTGAAGCCAGGTCAACCTCGCAGCGGATTTTGGCTGGCCATCGAATAAATGCACATCGCGCGCTTTCAGATGCGCTTTTGCGGCCGTCTGGAATGCTCTTCCTTTCGATAGATATTAGGAAGCCGCTGGAGATATGCACTTTTAAATTTAGTTTGAAAACTAATTTCTTTACCACTGCTTTTTGTGTTGAGTTTGTTGTCCTTCCCCCGCACCTCCGGTTAGTGCGGTTGGCTACGTACGGTGCAAAATAAGTTCAACATACATATATACATAACAGCTGCGTCAACTGCCCCGAAGTTAATCCGGGCCTGAATTAATTTCATTGTTCGCTCTCTAATTCGATGGCACGCTTCTGCCTAGCAGCGTGAGCCTGTTTAAAGGAAATAAAAACTAAGGGGATGGGGGGGGAGACAACACAGTGTTAAGCAATTTTTTTGAAAATGTTACAACGTTAAACAGAACGGGTCGCAATACGAACTGCTCTTGTCTATCGTGCATTTTGCTCTGGCCGCCACCCGCTATGTGTACGAGGAAAGGTTGCGACACGGATCACTGAATTGGCTGTAATAATTTAGAGGGAGGGGGCTCAGCCCCCCTCAGCCCCCCCCCCCAATGATTAGAGGGCTTGCACACACACATATATTAGTACTTGTAACATTTAGTTCCACTTACGTCTGTACTGTCAAATTCAGTTCACCAGTCCTGTAAAAGATACCTTTTTTTAATGAAACTAGAGACCTGTAATGAGAGACGTGTATAGCCATTTTTGTCAATCCGCTGCTGGATGAGGGCCTCCCCACGCCGTCTTAATTTACCATACTTCGTCGCGCCGGCCGGTGCGGGTTGGTGGAAGGCGGAAAGCACGGACGTTGGAACACAATCTAGTACGATTTAAAGCTTTCGTGACTGCAGGGATTCATATTATTGGTGAGAATTTTATTGTTATATTTTTATTATTTTATTATTTCCCTTCTACGTGACTTTACCGAAAGAACCAATAACACAATCTAGTACAGCAATGGATTTTGCTCCACTGCTGTCTGCTGCCCACAACGTAGCCCGCAGCAGCCTACGGTACCTTGACATTCATGGTGGTCGCCCACCAAGCAACTGTCCAAGCTCAAACCTGCTGAGCTTCCAATATCTGATGAGATCGGGCACATTTCGGGTAATTTGATCATTTTCTTTGTTTTTTTCAGTAAAGAAATAATAAAAATAGAATACAAAAACAAAAAAACTTATGTAGGCTGAAGCCTCGTTCTTAATCGGTGTGACAATCTTCATTATAGATTGCCAGTACACTCACTGATTAAGAACCAGGCTACAGTCTCCACGAGTGGTTTAAAAAATATATATATATTTTTTCACTTTTATTATTATTTTGTGATCTAAGTGACTTTACCGAATATGAATTCCTGCAGTCACGAAAGTTTTAAGTCAAAATTTAATTTGATCATTGGCGGCACACACGTTTTTTACTCGATGATGATGATACTCATGGTGATGATGTGTACGGTAGCGGTTAGCGCGCTGCGCTATGAGCCCGGCGACCCAAGTTCGATTCCCGCTCACAGCCAATAACAGTGACGATTATCTGAACTGTTTCTGGGCCTCTCCTAGGTCAACTCAGCCTCAAATCAGTCCCTAGTGTGGTGTGTAAACATCGCCACTGGGGAGACAAAGGCGGCCGGCCGTGGTGTTGACCGCTCACCCCCTTCGTGTGCCGTGCCGGCCTTCATGGGTGCTCGCTAACAGCACTTGCCCCAACAATATGTTAAGGCTATACGGGGGGGGGGGGATCTTTGTCTTTGTGTGTGCCAGGGCTACCAGTGGCTGAAGGAGCGCGTGCACAGCGAGGAGGGCCGTCGGCAGCAGGGCCAGCTCAAGGAGCTCCACAGCCTCACCGAGCAGCTCGAGTGCACGCTGCCGCAGCTCGCCATCGGTGAGACTCAACTCATGTTTGGATAGTAATAGGTTTTTACCCTTTCAACTGGTACAAAAACTGACACCTTTATACAAGGCATCATGTTTGCAATAACCACAACACAAGTAGTCAAAATGCAAATAAAAAGAAACAACTCTGATGATGATAATGATATGCATCATTATCATGTTTTGATGTTTACGAGTCAAGAAGGCAATATTTGGCTGAATATGTACACATTTTTTACAACTGTTCTGTGTTACCTTAAGCAGATTCCTAATTATAATAAATTTACATTATAAAAACGAGTGACACACACACCCACAGGAAATGCGTGGGGAACCTGCTTTCTCCAGAATGTCCCCATTGTTGTGACTTACATTGGGGGAGACCCATAACCAATTACATTACCTGCTGTGCAATGCATTATATCAAGGGAGCAGATGGATGGAGTGTACAATGCTGCACTTTAAACCTAATAAGTGTGAAATTACGCAGTTATTATTTTATTTACATTGTAGTTCTTATATTTGAGGTATTTCAGAACTATTATTTCTGTTCTGATTTTACTGCTTCACGTCTCTCAGTTTTCTCAAATAATCAGCAAGAATGTACGCAAATGAAGTGCAGAACTGAATTCAACGTGGTTTTGTTATGCGGTCTCTTCACTGCGCTTGAGTGTGTAGAACGGAATTTGAATAGTCATTGTAAGAAATGTAATGCAAATTCATGCTAAAATAATCTCTTATTCAGTTTAGCCACATATTCGAAGCCAGGATATTAGCAATGCCAGCTGAAGTGCTCTGACCTGTGAGCCACCCAGTCACCGTCTCAGAAAACAATTACTAAAGAATGTACCATAAAATTTCCCACTGCAGATTGCTACGCTCGCTTTGAGCAATTGCCGCCGTTATGTCCGTGCACACATCGCTTCTCGCCTTGCTCCCCACCCTCTCAGCCTGGTGCCTGAGGAGCGACGGGGTTAGCTCCGTGCTGCTGGGAGCCTCCAAGGTGGAGCAGCTGCTTGAGAACCTGGGGGCCGTGCAGGTGGGTTTGACACGAGCGGATATACATTGCTAAATATATATTTTGAAATGTTAAATCGTATATATATTTCTTATCGCGATTGCATGTGGCAAGACAGACAAGATGAGGTCCAAGAAAACGAAAATACAGTCAAATGTTCAGCTTGAGAAGATCTCCATGGAGTCAAGGGAAATACCAAACCAGTCATTCATCAGTGCACTTGATGAATTACATGTGTACATGTACATTTACTGCTGTATGAGTACCTCCCCACATTATGCGGGTCATCTCGCCAAAGTGGTGTGGTGGTGAGATGTTAACTCCCTCGCCTGGTATGACGGAGGTCGTGGGTTCGATCCGGACCCTGACTCCTGTACATTTAGAGTTTGCACGTTCACCCCGTGGCCGCGTAGATTTTTCTCCGGTTCCCTCCACATTTAGAAACATGCGTTTAGAGTATTTGGCTGCTATAAATCTCCACGTGATAAGCCACTTCGTTGAGCTATCATTTCTGACCAGGTTGCTTCTGAAAAAGAGCCGTATAGCTCAGTGGACCTTACCTGGTAAAATTAAAAGTTTAAATTAGTTCAGTTGAATATTTCACCAATCTGGTCAGTGCGAGATGGTGAAGGTGGGGACCATAGGTGTTGGAGCATAGAAATAAAGTAAAAGAATTGATTTTGTTTGTCTTGTGTTGCCCACTGCCTTTTGCTGCCCACCACATGCATCAACAATGCACGTAACTCGATGTATCATCAGTGGATGGGCATTGTTTGGCATTTAAAAATGGGCTGTGCCCAGGCTGCAATTGCCCCTTTCCTGAAAGAGGCCCTCCGAGCTGCCGGCGCTGTGACGAAGGCGCCCCGTGTCGGTCTGTGGGTGTGCTGCAGGTGCTGCCCAAGTTGAACCCCCTCATTGTCGCCGAAATCGACAACATTCTGGGAAACAAGCCGCAGAGCAAGCGCGAGAGCCGCACATAAGTCCGTGAACAGGAGTGGCGTTCACCCCCGCCCGCTCCCTGCTGTAATGAAGACTTGGGATCGACATGGACCCTTAGTTTCCTCGTGCGAAACAATGTCCCGTAACGGGGACGAAGCAGCTATGCAGGGAATGGACTGTTACACGTGTCTCCATTTTTTTTTACAAATAATTTTTAAATTTGTGATTTGGGTCATGTCGCTGGTATACAATAATGGACGACAATGAGGGAGGCCTTTACCCAGTAGTGGGACGTTACACACCGACAACAATAGCGGCTGGTACAGCAACGCCTGCTTTTGTGAATCATATCACATTGTCCTTCTCTGTGAACACACACACAGTGCTGTATAGACATGTATGCAAGATATAGAAAGTTGTGCACCTATGCAGTTACTGCATACACAGTGTACTTTTTCATATACACGTAAAGCAGTAAAAATGTGCCACAATTGTTGTATATTTAAAAAAGAGCCACATTTTTCATATACAATAATATTGTGTGAACACATCTCCACGACGGACGGTCATAATGATAGTACTCACATATACACCAGGTTGACTATTATTGACTGATATCATACCCTGGTCACACAGTATGAAGTATACATGCTACATGTCACAACGGCGTCCCCCCCCCCAAGAGGGGTTGTGTTAGGGGAAGGCTGTCAGCATGGATGAACTGTGTTGCCATTGTTACAGGTGTGCTGATCCTTACCTAGCTTTCTGGCAGCAAGACACCACACTCACTATGCAATGGAAGCTGTTATTCGGATGCAGGGGTTGGAGGATGCAGAGAACAGAGAGTTCCAGGGCGATTTTATATTGAACGATTTGTGAGCTTAGAGCGCGTCGTAACAGGCGCTAACGGTTTGATGAGGTGCCTAGGCAGGACTCTCTCCCTGTTGAACGAACACCAAGATATATACACAGCGCAATATGAGAGCATGTAATTTGTGATATCTTTTCCCATTTATCATCATCATCATTCTTTGCTAAAGAGGCTTTGGGTAATCACTGAAAACCAAATTTGTAATACTATTTAAGTTAGTGTATCTTTACGTAACTTTTCCTGAAGCATCTGCATGGGTTCGGATGTAATTGTCAAGTGATCAACCACGTGGCTTTTTCTGGGTACTCCCAGTTAATAAAAAAACCCCCCACTGAATTGGCCTGCTTGTAGCAGGCCCCCTCACCAATAGCTTAAAAAGGGAGAAAGTTGAAACATCCCATTGCAGGACCCTCTTTAACAAGAGTCGAGGTAACTCATTGGATTATTTGGTTTCAAGGACATTATTTCCCCATCACTGAAAAGGCATTTCTATTCTTATGTATTCATGACATTACCATCAGTGATAAGGTTAATCCCTCTGAAAGCACATTCAATTCAGGAATTACAGCACCACGTGCTCTGTGCTTCCAACCGTGTTTATGCAAGCAGTGACAATGAAGGCATTTGTTTTAACTGTTAAAGGTCGTTTGTTATTTTGCTCGGACACGGTTACTGGTTTCATGAGTAAGTTAGTGCACATACACTGTAAGCGTAACATACATAGCACTTGTGTGTGAGATTAAATGCAGTTGTAGCCTGCCCATCATATACATTATCCCACTTTAAAGAGTTGTATACAATTCTTACGTTATATCGGAAGGGGCAAGGGCCAGAATGGGCTCAGTCTTCCAATAAGTAAACCCTTGCTCTATTGATGCTCTCTTTTTTTAAACAACTTTCCAGAATTATTGCATCTTTGAGAGATTGTCCTGTAGTTGCGATTCGTAAATATTGTATGAGCTTTCAAGCAATTATGAGAGAGGCCATTTTATTGACACGGCGAAGTGAGGACTCGTCAATGCTGTTAAAATCCGCATTCCATGCAGAAATACACTTGCAGCCACACATACATTCACAGCCTTTCAAGCACCACTGATATCCCGAATATTATACGGCGCATTAAACCTCCACGTTTTGATATAACCTGATGAGCACATTATTAAGATATTGTACAATAATACGATTAATTTGGGATGTTTACATGATAGAGTTGGCTGTGGGATTGTGGGCTAAATAATCGTCGTATAGATGTATGGCTATGAATAGGAATGAACCCTTACAATGTGCCTGTGGTTATCCGACCCATGCAAATGAATAAATATACGGCAATAAGGCCTTGTAGCATGTGCACAATACACCGTACACTTATATTGCATACCGTATATGGTTTCCATAATGCAGTGTATATAATAAATTCCTGCTGTGGCATGATACATGTTGGGTTAATGTTATTTAACAATTTAAATCTACTTATGCATTTTGAGTAAGCATGATCATTTAATATCGCATTACCTCTGTTATTTACCATGAAAGATGATACATTGCTCAGATTTTTCACAAAGAATGTGTAATATGCTTAAACACATTATCCAGACATAATATTATGGATACAATAAAGAAAGCGACGTAATTATGTATATGCAATTACCCTTTGCTTTATAATAGCCGTGTAAACATGCAGAGTGATGGTAATAGCTAGGTATGTATTATGCTCTGTTTTGTATACAGGATGTATATAAAAGACTGTAAATGTGTTTGAATTACAGTATGCAGTATGTCAACAGTATATATTATTAAAGAAGACCCATTGACCAAATTTGTTTTGCGTTTTACAATACGGTACTATAACTTGATTATTGTGGCGAGATGTTAACTGCCTCGCCTGGTATACAGGAAGCGCATGGGTTTGATCCCGACCCTGACGCTTGCTGCATATTTCGAGTTTGCGGTGTCTCTTTCCCCGTGGTCGCGTGGATTTTTCTCCGGGTCCTCCGGTTTTTCCCTCCACATTTAAAATCAACATCACCACGCGTTTAGAGTATTTGGCAGCTATACATTTCCACGTGATAAACTACTTTGTTCAGCTATTATTTGTGGCCAGGTCACTTCTGAAAAAAAGCTATATAGCTCAGGGGGCCTTACATGGTAAAATTAAAAATAATATTTACGATATAATAACAAATGATAGTCCTGTGTCAATCAACTGCTGGATGAAGATATCTCTCCATGCCATGTCGGAGTGTGGCCATATTTCAGCAGGCTGGTTAGGGTGGCTTTGGGTAATCGGAGGTGTCTTTTAATCTCCTTCACAGCTGTTGTGCGCCGTACAATGTCCCTATCTATAGCTGGCCACCCCAGCAGCAGCTGTTTCGTATGAAGTAACACTCTGAAAACAAATACATTAGCAAGTAAAAGAGTTTTTCCCCCTTTCTTTTACTCAGGTCAGATACTATATGGTAATCTAATTAAACAATGAAACCCATGGGGGATATAGATTTGCTTAACAACAAAACTATCGACAAGGTTTCCATTAAAAGGGGACTTTATATTTGCTAAGCGACCAGACTTGTTCAATAGGTGCTCATTATCAGCCATGGCCAATCCACTGCTGGATGAAGGTGTTCCCCCATCGTCCCACGGCCTTATGATGCCCTAATCCACCCTGATTCTACTAACACGAGCTCATTTAATCGCTCCATCTCCACTTAGGGGTTATCTGGTCTAATACTGGCAGTGAGACTAAGGCTCTAAAGTAGGTTGTCTCTGGTGTAGACCAATCAGTTTCAAAGACAATGCATCAAATATTACCAGCGTATGTTGTTGTTTGCATGTTCAACACAATATTGTTGTGGTCAATGCAGACATGATTCCTTGCAAAAGGTTTCTGTTTTGTGTTGGAACATCTTGACACAACTGTTTTATTGCCAGAAATGTTAAAACATTCTTATATGCACTTACAATTCTTCGGACTTGGTTAAAATACCTCTCTTCATCTAGCAGTGCGTAGATGATGATCGTCGATATTAATCAATGACATCCTCAACACCCCGTATCTTCTACGCTGGGAAGCTATAGGTGTTAGGATGAAAAATTAAGTCATATAAGTAGAAGGAAACAAAACCGTAAGCGTTGTTGTGGAGACATTTAAATATAGTAAATAAGTAGTGTCTCCTTCATATGTTCATCTCTCCGCACATCATAAAGCATAGATGTCAACCCATACATATCAAGCAAGCATCAGCATGCAATGCCACATACAGCATAGCATAAGCAATATAATAGACACCAATGATCAAAATTTATACATAAATTTTTTTTTTTATTGTTTGTGTTTCTCCCTTGTGATGGAGCTTTGTAGGATGAACGTTGAGATGTATAAGGGGCACGGGGTGACCAATAAGGTCTGCATTGGTCTGTAACAAGATAGATAATGAGATAGATAATTAGATAGATAATAACATAGGGCACTAATAAGATAAAGAGTGGGTTTGATCGGCAGTTCACCAGCACTGAATCAATTGAAACCCGACACAGCTGATGGGTCTAAGACTAAGATCCCGCTGTATATATGCGCCTTAACAAAACTTTCGGGGCAAGTACTGTTGCTGTTATTTCAGCAATAATCGATGCATCGATATACTGAATATTACTCTTTGGTTCAATCGGTAAAGTCACGTGGGGTATAAAATAAAATAAATTAAAAATGTATTAAATCACTATTTATTGTTTTATTTAAATTAAATCACAATTTATTTAGTTTTATTTAAATTAAATCACAATTTATTTTGTTTTATTTAAATTAAATCACAATTTATTTTCTTTTGCTTAAATTAAATTACAATTTATTTTATTTAAATTAAATCACAATTTATTTTGTTTTATTTTCTGCAGGAATTGCTATACTTATTGGTTCTTTCGGTAAAGTCACGTATGTATATTTCTACATAATACGTGATGTAACCCAAAAAACCCTGTATTATTCATGATGGGCTTTCCCGCGTAAAACAGCTAAGCTAATATATGCCGACGTCATTACGCACGCGTGACGTAACCACGTCGTAACTTTTCCACCGATTTCCATTGCCGCAAAACTACGTGACGTCATCACGCAGCACGCTTTCCCCTGCGAACGCATCCGTTTGGCGCGCGCGCGTAAAAAAAAAATCCATACGTAATCGCCTTCCTACGTCATTACGCACGCCCGGTGACGTCACTTCTTTCTCAGGCAACGCGCTTGTGATTGGTTAACTTCTGCCCGTGACGTAATCACGCATCGTCGTCTGCTGCACCCGCCCCTTTATAAGGCCGTCACGTGGACTGACGCTCTCCTTTCCCCCCGCACTCGAAGCAGTAGGCGCGTTTAGTCAACGCTCCCCTCCACACAAGAGACCCACAGAATAACTCTCCCGTCGTCTTCTTCAACACAATACTTCCAACATGGTGAAGGCAGCCAAGGTGAGATGTCCGCTGTGCAGCTGTGCTGCTGCTGTAGAAGGAGAAGAGCGGAGAGACGCGGGGCTACCGCGAGGGGAGGGGGGGCGGACAGACGCCATTGCCGCCATTTCTGTTTTCGCGCAAACGAAAGGAGCCTTGGTTCGACTGTCGCGTTTGCCGAGATGAATGTTAATTGTTCGACGTCGTGTTTTGTTACGTTTTCGTTGTATTCGCGTGCTCGGTCGTGGCGGCGGCGGCGGTGGGCTGGCGGCGTTGGGAAGTTTGATGCGTGGCGGCAAGGGTGGAGTGGGTGGGGGGGTAGGCCTAGGCCTGCATCGCGCAAGCGAAGTGAAATCGCAACGCTCGCTCCGTGTCGATTGAACGCGGCCTCGCAGCGAGTTCGTTCTGGTTCACGCGCAGTTGCAGAGTGCTAGACGTGGCTTGAGCCGTCGGCCGCGCTGTTCGCGACGTTTAAGCGCTAAACCCCCCGTCCCCTCCACGTGGGTGAGGCCTCAACGCGGGTTCGGATCCTGGGACACGTGGCGCTGTAACGGCACGCGAACGCTACATTGACGGGGCTGATGATTTGCTCGAGTTGTACGGTTATCGGCCTTGGTTTTTGGATTTACGGCGCTAGTTTAGACATAACGGGGTTGAAATATGAGCGGCGTGGCGGACACGTGGCGAGCACGGCCCCCCTGGAAGAACACGTGCAGAGCAAATGGCGGCTTACGGGAGAAGACCCCCACCACGTTATCGGTTGCGAACTTAGACTTTTTAGCACTTAAATCTTAAGTAACTGACATTTTTAATGAACTTGCTTGATAAATATTGTTAGTGCTTGTCTTTGGAGATACTTTGTACTGTTCGTGCAGTTTTAACGCAAGTTGGACTTTTTGGCCACGTGCTTGTACAGTGCATTGGCGAAACATGTGCTCGCTAAGTGTACTGTACCCCGATGTACTCATTCATGAAAGCCGATAACCTTTCAAGTATAGTTTTAACAGTATAAGTATTTACAAATTTTAAACTAAAAAGCAAGACTAATATTTAGATTTTTTTTTTGTAAAAAGTTTCGTTTTTACGAAAAACTGTTTAGCCTTTAATTTTATTAGTTTATGTACGGGCAAACTATTTTTGCCTGGGTAAGTTGTCGGAAGTTAAGTGTATGTTGCTAGATGCTTAACTTTTTTATTTTTTTTACTTGAGATTCACAAAAATGCGTTATTTGCACTTGCCTATTTATTTTAAAAGTAAAGTGTTTGGAATACAGTAACAATTTTTTAACGCGGTTGTAACAGTGACTAATCGCCGAAATACAATATTGCTTTAAATTTTTCGATTTAAAGCTTTCGTGACTACAGGGATTCATCTGGTTTCTTTCGGTAAAGTCACGTAGAAGGGAAATAATAAATAATAAAACTTTGTATTTTATTATGTATTATTACTACTTTTATTATTTCCCTTCTACGTCACTTTACCGAAAGAACCAAGAAGATGCTTTACATTTGTTTGAGGCGCATGGGAGGGACACGTGGGATTATTACATTTAGACACCTACGTTGGCTTCTTTCCCAGCGTACGGTCCCCCATAGTGTCCCCAATAACTGGGGAGTTCCATCCCTGTAGAATGAGTGATTTAACCGCCGTCACTCGCGTGTGCCTTGCAGGCAACTGCTGTGAAGAATGGCAAACCTCAGAAGAAGGCGCCACCTCCGCCCAAACAGGTGGATGAGTCGAGCGAGGAGGAGGATGACTCCGAGCCAGAGGTAAGAGCCCACGTGGAAGCAGCCCTATGCCACAGCTTGAGTTGGTGACAAATTGCATTAAAAGTTTTTTTTAAGTTAACCGAATGAATGTAAGCCTTGGTGCATTTTTGGTGAAATGGATTGTAAATGTTCTTTTGAGATGTAATATTTTCCGCATTTGTATTTCCTACCTTGCATTTTTGGTGTTAAATCACATGGGCAATTCATATTGGCTGCTTGTGCAGTATACACAGGGTGGTATCTTGCAAATCGAATTGGAGGCACGTGTGATGAGTAGTTCAAGGGACTTAATTCTGACTATTGATGATGGAACTTACTGATGTGCCTGCTTACCATTCACAAATGTGAAAGTGCTGCCCACGTGACCGTGCCACCAAGCTGGCCTGTCTATGCATGAACATGTAGCGGTTGATTTGATCAATTAAAGTCGATTCTTACACTGACGGTGCTAGGTTTGATATATGCAGACATTTTAGCACGACCAATGCGACCTTGACATACAAAACCACTGCGCTGTGCAGGTCCCTGTGAAGAAGGCAACACCTCTGCCGAAAAAGGCTGCAGCCAAGGTGACGGTGAAGCAGGCGTCTGAGGACGACAGCGAGGAGGAGGTGGTACGTATCACTTTGAGGCTATTGCACAATTATGTTAATCCCAATCTATTCGGTGTTTTGAGCACTGCTGGCTCAAGTTATTTTTCGTTTCCCATAGCTGAGGCCTGTTTGGTAGCAATCGTTCAAATTCCTGGTGTCAGTGGTAAATGATGTACGAACTGCTCCTGTGAACCCCCCTATCTAGAAGCTTTGTTTACCAGCATGGTTTACGATGATCAAACAATCTCTGTGAAGGGCATCGTGTGGGGAGGGTTTCATTTGTGCATTAACAAAAGGGAATTGCATAAAGAATGGTGATGTAATTTCAGTGGGCAATTTGACGTTGTGCACTTGAAATGATGAATAGAACTGATAACAAGGAGGCAGAACCATTAGATGTGTGTTTTTATGACTTGCTCTTTCAGGTGGTTCCTGCCAAGAAGGGCAAGCCTGCCGCCAACAGCAAGGCCGTGGCAAACAACAAGCCGGCTGCCAAGAAGGCAGCACCCAAGAAGGCCGAGAGCTCTGAAGAGGAGTCTGGTAAGTGTGCAAGAGTTAATGCTCCCTGCTATGAGTGCATCAGGCATATCTGACCATCACACCTTCCTTAGGAATTTACTTAAAGTACTCGCATCATTGGTGCCTTTTTTCCACGGTAGTGGCCATTTACTGTTGACTGGTCTGCCATTGACAACCTATATGCACCCGCAGATGAGGAGGATGATGATGATGAGGAGGAGGAATCTGAGGAGGAGGCACCACCGCCACCAAAGAAGACGCCTGCTAAAACAGCAGCCAAGGCCACTCCCGCAAAGGCCACTCCCGCAAAGGCCACTCCTGCCAAAGCAACACCTGCCAAGAAAGCACCAGCTGATGACGAAGATGAGGACTCTGAAGGTAGTTATGCGCATGCAATCAATCCATTTGCAAGTCTATGCATCTCCCTGCTCAGCCTTGCACCAACTACACCATTTTGTGCGTTCCAAGCCTTCATATTATATGCATGCACATGCATGCCTTGTAAAGATGGTTTCCACTTAATGCACGCAAAGGGAGGGCATAACAAAATCTCTGGTTGGCCGTTCTTAATTTGTGTGACTGCAGTATAATGACTGCCGAATACTTTGCTTAACACTGCAATTCCTCATCGGTGCAGAGGGGGATAGGAAGATATGGGACTTGCAGTTGAAGACATTTTGCAATGGCGCCTCAATTTTGGCTTGTGCTGTTACCTTTGTCCACTAGATGGCGTGCAAGGTTAATGCAAGCATTGAACTTCTATCTGAAATGGTGGACCGTGGCATGCATCTTTTGGCATCTTTATTCTCACCCTTGATGTTCATGCGTTACGTTGGCTTTACTGTTGGCTTTTATTGTGGTGTTTTAATGAAAGTAAGAAGTGGTATTTTGTTGAATTTACATTCCAAAAAATACCCGAAATAGAGCCAAGCTCTTGTAAGGAGTGAGTTGATTGTTCTGGTCACAAATAACCGCGTTAGAAAGTATTCTAAAATATTAATAGTGCAGGTAATTAATTTATAAACTTTACTCGTGTAGCTGTGCCAAGAGTTACTTCGGGGTCCTGATGGGTATGACCTTTGCCTCTTGCACAGATGATGAAGATGAGAAGCCAGTGGCCAAGAAAGCAGCTGCTGCCAAGGCCACTCCCGGCAAGACCACTCCCGGCAAGGCCACCCCAGCTAAGGCCACCCCAGCAAAGGGCAAGCCGGCAGAATCCGATGACGACGAGGAGGATGAAGATGATGAGGATTCGGAGGAGGAGTCCGAGGAGGAGATGGATGTGACCCCTGCGCCTAAAGCCAAGGGTGCTAAGGCAAAGGAAGAGTCTGAGGAAGAGGATGATGATGATGAGGATGACGACGATGAAGAGGATGACGAAGATGCTGATGGTGAGTTAAATGCTGCAGTGGTACAAAAATAGCTAAATCATTGAAGCTTTAATATTGAACCACCAAATTTTTTTGGCTAGCTTGTGTATCAGCCATGTGGTGGCTGCATGCCATGCTGGGGAATGGACAAACTTGTACTGAGCCGACAGTTCCTGATTACGCAGATCAGAATAGGCTTTGCGCTTTATTCAGTTATTCCCTTCTCCTTTTTGAGCACCGGGCTGTAACTAGGCACGTGGAGACCCCACTTGCCCGGTGATGGCAGCTCTGGTTTCGCAGGAGAAGGAGACGAACGCTCAGCACAAAATCACCACGGCAGCGTCAGTCGGACCTCTTTCTTAATGTCCTGTGGCTGCCTGCCGCCATGGTGCTGTGCCACATTTAGCAACGGATGCCGCATTGAATTTATAGCACAGATGGTATCGTCGTTTCGTTACGCATTACTTGGGCACATTGCCAAATGAGTTGTGGAAGTCAAATTGTGTTGTGTAAAGTGCACTTCTGCTGTTGCTCTGTCGTACAGAACCTCCACCCAAGGCCAAGGCAGAGAAGCGAAAGAAGGAGGAGGACAAGACCGCCTCTGCATCCAAAAAACAGAAAGTTGATACTGGCGATAAGAAAGGTATTATACTGTGGTGTTCTTGACTTTCTCTTAGCAACTGTGCGAATGAGACTTCTAAATACTGCAATGTGACCTATTACTGCACAGATTCCACACATTTTGTACCATAATATGGAGTGGCAAAGAATGGGGGAGGCTAGTTGGTCCACTACCTAGTTGTAATTGATATCAAAATGATTGCAAATTGCATTCAGCCATTGGTGCTTAACTGGTTGCATTGGGCTGGTCATTTTTTATTGACACTTTGTCTTGATCATTTTCTTGGAAGTTAACCACATGTGTTTTGTTTACAGAACGTGACGCCAAGACTCTATTTGTGAAGAACATCGCATGGACTTCGACGGTGGAAAGTCTGACGGAGGCTTTTGAGGGAGCTGTTGAAGTGCGGATTCCACTGGGCCCCAACGGGAAGAGCCGCGGGTAAGGAACGGGCATAATGTACCTTTTTAATTCAAGTCCACTTTGGGCAGTGCTCTGTAACACGCATTGGTGTAATCCAAGGTTTTGTAGGCATGGCCCCATTGGCTCGCTGAGCCAGCTGCCTGCCAAAATAAGTTATGGACAATTGAGACGCTACAGTTATGCAGGATGTGAAACAATCCTGTCATGGGGCCTGCACAGACCCACAGTCCAGTGACCGTTGATACAAACTACTGTTCCCAAGCCAGCCGCCCGCCACAGTCCCGGTCAGTCCCATTGACTGGAGATTGTCCAGTGGTGGCTAAGAGCAGCGACCAGGGCAGGAAACAGGGAGCCCCCTTTCACCCATGGGATGCCCTGTGCCGAAACCCCGGCTACAAGAGTGCAACTTGGCAGAATAATTTATTGAGTTGAACTTTGAGAAGTATCAGAGCTCATTATCGATGTAAATCGCCATGCTGGGAAATGGAGCGTCGTAAAGCCATATGGTCAATTCAGCTGGGATGCACCCAATATTGTCACTTATTGGAAGCTGAGCAGGGTGGATCCTGGGAAGTTGGATGGGGTGACCACATGCCTAAAACATGAGGTAGTGTAGGCTCCTATCTATGGGGCTATGTTGTCAGGAGAGGCAAATTCAGCAAAATGTGTCTTCAGCCCCCACTAACCAGTGTGGTAATGTATGGTCATCCAGCAGTGGATGTACAAAAATGGCTTGATGTACTTTGGAAAGTAGATCGAGCTTGTTTGTGGCTGCCCGTCGCAGGATCGCGTACGTGGAGTTCCCCTCGGAGGAGGATGCCGAGGCGGCCATGAAGGAGTACCAGGGTGCCGACGTGGACGGGCGCGCGGTCCTCCTCGACTATGTCGGGGATAAGAGCAACAAGGGCGCGGGGCAGCAGCAGGCCAGCTTCGGAGGTAACGCAATGCGCCAACCCCCCCCCCCCTTCCAGCGTGGAGCCACGCGCACACGTGTCACGTAGTCCAGTGCGCTGTAACGTAGCCGTTTCAAGAGTTTATGCAAATGTCACGGCTGTCCCAGCTGTATGGGGTACCCCGTTATTGGAGAGTGGAAGGAAGATGCACAACTATTAAAATCCCATACTTGGCAGTTGTACCTGGACTGTTGCATCCAACACGAGTTTGATGTATTCACAGTTGATTCCGGAGCACTTTGCAGGGACAATGTTGCAGTACATTAAACATTGCATATGTCAGACACTGTTAAACGGAATCGGTTGGTGCTGTGCCATAGGGCCTGTACAAACCTCTAGTAAAACGTTGTAACTACTTGATGAAAATTACAATTGTTGAGATAGCCACCCGCCACAGTCGCAGTCTAACACCCTTGACTGTAGATTGTCCAGTGGTGGCTAAGATCAATGTCCGGGGCAGGAAACAGGGAGCCCCTTTACCCATGGGAGGCCCTGTGCCGTAACCCCGTCTACACAACGTGTATGTCTATCATAGCAACGTCTTTTTACCGTGGCAAAGGTTGCCCAGTGGCTTCCATGCTTGGACGCAATTTGCCTCCCAAGCGCAGGTTCATGAATTTGAGGTTGTATCTCAGCTCGCCATTTTAGTGCTCAACTCATTACAGGTCAAAATTAACTTCCTGAACGCATCATCCAAGTTGATTGTATTACTTTAAATCAACACTACCAGTTTCCCAGTATAGGGGGATGGTGTTGTGTAAAAGACCCACATTTTGCTGCCTTATTTGGTCATAGCTATAACTATGGTGTTGTGTCTATCCTCTCTCAGCAAAGCCACAGGGCCCCGAGAGCAACACGCTCATGGTGCGGAACCTGTCCTTCCAAGCGGACGAGGACTCTCTGCGATCGGTGTTTGAGAACGCCGAGGCGGTGCGTGTGCTAATGGACCGCGAAACTGGCAAGCCCCGTGGGTGAGTCTCCCTTCAGACACCTGTCGTGACATCCATCCCCCTCCTGATCAACATCATTGTAATATCCCATATTTAGTGCACTGCTGCTGGCATTGTGTACTAGTAATGCGGTGCACATTGCACGTGGTTGAAGGTGTGTAATGCAGATTATGCCGTTGTGCTTGAGCTGTTAGTCGTACTGATCCAGTAATTTATTGTTTTTAAATGTGGTCATTCTCATGTCCAGTTGGTGAAATCGTTTCCTTCCAAGATGCAAGCAAATATTCCACTTGTTTCCCAGTTGGTAGGCTACTGATGCTTAATGTGTCGAGTCTTCCCTTAGAACGCGATTGTGTTATGAGGTATTCAGTAGGCTGCAACAGGCATGATGTGGCGTTCTTCCCGCTTGACCGGGGTCCTTGCATGTGTCCCCGTGATGTGGCAGGATGGCATTTGTGGACTTTGCGAGCATTGACGATGCCAAGGCGGCGATGAAGGCGCACAGCGGTGCCGAGGTGGAGGGCCGTGCCATCCGCCTGGAGTTCAGCACACCGCGTGGCGCCCCCGCCCCCAGTGAGAACCCGCACAGCGTTGTAGTCCTATCCTGACTCGCTCACCGGCTATTGCGCTTTCACGCTTGTTCAGACCACAAGCTGTCAATCGGACCACAGGACACTGCTTTCTCAATGCAGGAGATAATTTGTAAAATGTTAATGGAAATGTATAGTTCAATGCAGAGGGCAGGTTTGTTAATAGAATGGTGTATGGCAGTGTTTACTTGATTCATTTTCTTCTGGGCCATAAAATTGGCATGTGGTCTATAATACATTATGATGGCTGGTTTCTCCCATTGGCTTCGTGTCAGGTGAAATGGACAAACATCTCATTGCAAAAGACCCTTTTTTTTAAATCCTGAGGCTTGGGCTTTTCTATATTGATGAACATGCTTGTTTAGGCCTGTTGGCACTGGTGAGATTTTGGGCGTTTTAACGCCTGTGTAGCTAAAACTAGCTGTATACTCCGAGCCAGCCGCCCGCCATGATCCCGGTCAGTCCCATTGACCGGAGATTGTCCAGTGGTGGCTAAGAGCAGTGACCAGGGCAGGAAACAGGGAGCCCCTTTACCCATGGGAGGCCCTGTGCCGAAACCCCGGCTACAAAAAGTATCAATGGCTTGCTTGGTAGTGGGTTAACTAAACGGCTGGCAGATGTACAGTTGCCTCTGCTCCGCACTGCCAACTTGATGTAGTTTGCCGCTTTTATCATTTTGAGCGTCGCTCCACCTTGATGTTGCTGGAGGAGCAGTTTTTCCAGCTGCTTAGTAATGCAAATTATGAGCAGCCTCCACAAAGGCTGATCAACACACACACGCGTCTGTACACAGGCATGTTGGTAATGGTTGACACTGTGCTGGGTGGGATGCAGGTGAAGCGACCAACACGCTGTTCGTGCGAGGCTTGGGCGAGGACACCTCTGAGGACACGCTCATGGACTCGTTTGAGGGAGCCACGGCTGCACGTATCGTCACCGACAGGGACTCGGGCCAGTCCAAGGGGTACGTGTTCACTGCTGTTTGCTCTGTTTATCCTCTTTCCCCACTGGTGGTGTGTGGAGCCTTGATTCCCTGTGTAATCGGGACCTTTATTGTCACTACATGCCGCCCTTATAGTTAGTAAAATCAGAATAAGCTTTGTGCTTTATTCAGTCATTACCTGTGTGCTTCCCTTCTCCTTTTTGAGCACCGGGCTGTAACTGGGCACGTGGAGACCCCACTTGCCCGGTGATGGCAGCTCTGGTTTCGCAGGAGAAGGAGACGAACGCTCAGCACAAAATCACCACGGCAGCGTCAGTCGGACCTCTTTCTTAATGTCCTGTGGCTGTCTGCCGCCATGGTGCTGTGCCACAGACCCATTAGCCGTGTTTTACTTTTGCGTTCTTGGGTATGCATTATCTGACATGCGTAACATTTTGTTTTGGAAAGGTTCCTCATAGAGCTAACCTAGAATGCATCATTCTTTAAGAGGATGTTTATAATCCAAGTGTCTGCTCACGGATATCTTGCTTTTGGTTTGTTTTGAGGGCCTTTTCATCCGAGTTGACCAGTGTGTGTTTGTCGCTGCTCTAGGTACGCCTATGTGGACTTCAGCTCTTCGGACGAGGCCAAGTCTGCGCTGAACGCCATGAAGGGTGTGGAAATTGACGGCAGCCAGATCTACGTGGACTTCGCCCGTCCCAAGGGCTCGACGCCCAGCCGTGGTGGTGGAGGCCGTGGTGGTGGCTTTGGCGGCAGGGGTGGTGGAGGCTTTGGCGGTCGCGGTGGAGGCTTTGGCGGTCGTGGGGGTGGTGGATTTGGTGGGGGCCGCGGTGGTGGCTTCAGGGGGGGCCGTGGAGGCGGTGGTTTCAGAGGAGGTCGTGGTGGTAGCAGTGGTAAGTCTGGTGTATATCATAGTCTTGGTCTATAGTCGATTGCAATGTAGTTGAACCAATCCATTTTTAGATGTGCGTTTCTAATTTACTGTAATACGTCCAGCCAGCTGGCACTTTAGTAGTGGTTTTAACGTAGTTGTAAGTTTATTGGGTTTTGCAGTTGAACTAAACCTATTATGCCTGACATTGTTTTTCAGGAAGGAAGGATGGCATCCAGGAGTTCAAGGGCAAGAAGATGACTTTTGACAACTGAAATTAATGTATGTTTTTCTCCATATTTCGCTAAAAGTTATAAAATGGACATTTTGCGTGCTCACACTCGCGCTCAGGACTGAGAGGGGTGGATGGGGACTCGGGTCTGGCAGTGCCACGATGCTGAGGCCTGGCATGGAGTCATACGCACCATTCTACCAACGCAAAACCATCCACCCCACAATCCCACTCAATGCGCCCCCCACACCACCAAGAGTACACCGCAGCCCTTGTCACCATCTGGCTGCTTGAAAAGTCCCAAAGGGGGGTGGGAACCTCTTTCCATATTTAAGCTTAGGGCCTCAATTGATTTGTGCAGTGCCTTTTAGAATATTGGGAAAAAATGGTTATCCTGACTGGTTTTTAGCTATACTGCATGGGCCCATTTATGGCTCATAATTCTACTGTAAAATAAACATTTCAAGATTTTTCATTGTCTGAAATTGCATATCATAATGGACGTTTCACGCTTTATGTAAAAAAAATACCCCAAATAACCGTTCATTGTGATACATCGGGTTGATAATTTTTAGTCCTGATACATTGGCATCTTAACCCAACAGCATCTGGCCATAACACGTTCCAAAGGGTGGATGTTTTTGTCACTGATGAATGGCGTTATAAACTTTTTTTGCCCCGCTCTCTTTATGGACCCCTTTAAAAAAATTATTAGACGTTGCTGACGTGGAAATTGATTCGTTGGGCACCATGAGGCGGTCCTGCCTGGCTCGGTGGAGACACGTGCTTGTGCACAGGAGACGGAGTCTCGCAGCCGTGATTAGAACATTTTTATCCTGAAGCCTGCTCCTGTAGTCCCTTTGCATATAAAGTACTTGTGTGTGCGTGCTTTTTGTTAAGTGGTTATTTTTTTTACTTGTAAATATGAGTTTCTGTAGTTGCTCATTGTTATTAATTTGTTGACAACGTAACGAAAATGCCGCCTGTATTTTGGTAATATCCAAAATGTGCAGTTGCAGGTTTCTGAAATAAACTCAATAATAACTCCGCTCCCCTCCCCCTTATCCTTTATTATATGTCGAGTAGATGTGGGCTGTGAATTGTGCTGGTTTCTAAGGTTTAATTAAGTTGCTTGGACAGTCCTAACTGCCATAAGCGTTTGGTTGTTGGCCATAACCATAATAGGTTGCTTGTCAATGTTAAATACTGGTTCCTACAAAATTACAATGGATATAAATTTCTGAAGGAAAATATTAGCAGGCGTGTAATACTGATGGTTAATTGTCCAGAGTTTGTACCATCCGAGATCAAGCATCCTATTAAATGATGCGTTAAACTAGAATTGTTATTCTGAAATAATTTCAGACGTTGCTTCGTTTGGCTTCTGTAACGATGAGTCATGAATTAAGAACACAATATAATGTTCTGTTCGGATGCCATTTGGAATAGTTTGAGCGATCTGCTCACACGAAAACGATCATGCAATAATAGAAAGCTTTGCGATATCCATAGATTGTTAAGAACTAAACTGCATGCACGTTTAAATTCGGGACATCAAGTAAGCCACTAGAGGTCATCGCGAGGTTTGGTAGCTGTGCCACATGCAAGCGTGTGGTCTTGCCCTAAAAATGCCGCTGGTAACAGATCAAGGTTATGCGTCTGTTGATGCTTGTTTAATAATTACCCTGCACATCTAGATACCAGTTTATTGTGATTTAAATGTGTATGTCACTTGGGAGCTAAAGCTGCATTTCAAGTTCACAATTTAATTTTTTCCTCGCCCTTGGTCGCAGTCGGCTACAAGGGGCAAACGAAGAGAACCCGGTTTTGTTAGAAAATACAGAAAATACCCAAAAGAGTGAATTGTATTTTGTTTGAATGCGTTGATATACTTGAGAAAGTAGTGGCTGAAGCAGTCTAATCAAGTGCTATGTTTGCAGATTACTGCTACTTTTTTCCTTAAAGTTAGCTATTTTGTTTTGCATGTGTACCATTTTTTTAAAAGGTGAAACATGTAAAGTAGAACACAATTGCTTGTGATTCGTCATTATTTTACATATTAAAGTATAGTCCCCTATTTGACACGTGCACATTGTAATTTGTACCTTGTTTTAACGAGTGTTTGGTCATTTGGACACCAACTCATTCTTTCAAAATATACACTACCGGATCTGCACCATTCATTGGTTCAATTGTAAATGCCCTTACGGCAACATTAATCTGCACAGCATGAGGGGGGAACCATTTACCACTGGCTGCAGAGTAGTCTGCAACACGGTTGGCTGTGTACGGTACGAAAGAAGTTCTCCATGCATTCTGCCGTTGACGCATCCCAAGAGATTTCCATCTCACGATTGTGGTCCAGTTTTCAGCCCCATATAGTATTCAACTCTAGCCTGTGCCATGCGCCATTATTGGAGCCGTGTCCACTCTGTACCCTGGGGCTACGGTCTGTAATGTGCCTCTGGGGAACCCGAGGTTCTCCAGTGCTCTGCTCCGGGACTAGGCTATGTACCATGCTTTGTTCCTCTGGTACTACAGTCTGCAATGCACCACTGGGACTGGAGTATGCAGTGCACCACTGGTGCTGAAAACTAAAACGCTTCACTAGGTCAAGAAGTCTGCAATGCTCCGCTTTAGTACAGCAGTCTGCAATGTTCCACTATGTAAAGAGCACTGCAATGCCCCACTGTGTAAGAGCAGTCTGTGCAATGCCCCACTATGTAAGAGCAGCCTGCAATGCCCCACTATGTAACAGCAGTCTGTGCAATGCCCCACTGTGTAAGAGCAGTCTGTGCAATGCCCCACTATGTAAGAGCAGTCTGCAATGCCCCACTATGTAAGAGCAGCCTGCAATGCCCCACTGTAAGAGCAGTCTGTGCAATGCCCCACTATGTAAGAGCAGTCTGTGCAATGCCCCACTATGTAAGAGTAGTCTGTGCAATGCCCCACTATGTAAGAATAGTCTGTGCAATGCCCCACTATGTAAGAGCAGTGTGTGCAATGCCCCACTATGTAAGAGTAGTCTGTGCAATGCCCCACTATGTAAGAGTAGTCTGTGCAATGCCCCACTATGTAAGAGCAGTGTGTGCAATGCCCCACTATGTAAGAGTAGTTTGTGCAATGCCGCACTATGTAAGAGTAGTCTGTGCAATGCCCAACTATGTAAGAGCAGTCTGCAATGCCCCACTATGTAAGAGTAGTCTGTGCAATGCCCCACTATGTAAGAGTAGTCTGTGCAATGCCCCACTATGTAAGAGCAGTCTGCAATGCCCCACTATGTAAGATCAGTCTGTGCAATGCCCCACTATGTAAGAGTAGTCTGTGCAATGCCCCACTATGTAAGAGCAGTCTGTGCAATGCCCCACTATGTAAGAGTAGTCTGTGCAATGCCCAACTATGTAAGAGCAGTCTGCAATGCCCCACTATGTAAGAGTAGTCTGTGCAATGCCCCACTATGTAAGAGTAGTCTGTGCAATGCCCCACTATGTAAGAGCAGTCTGTGCAATGCCCCACTATGTAAGAGCAGTCTGTGCAATGCCCCACTATGTAAGAGCAGTCTGTGCAATGCCCCACTATGTAAGAGCAGTCTGTGCAATGCCCCACTATGTAAGAGCAGTCTGTGCAATGCCCCACTATGTAAGAGCAGTCTGTGCAATGCCCCACTATGTAAGAGCAGTCTGTGCAATGCCCCACTATGTAAGAGTAGTCTGTGCAATGCCCCACTATGTAAGAGCAGTCTGTGTAATGCCCCACTATGTAAGAGCAGTCTGTGCAATGCCCCACTATGTAAGAGCAGTCTGTGCAATGCCCCACTATGTAAGAGTAGTCTGTGCAATGCCCCACTATGTAAGAGCAGTCTGCAATGCCCCACTATGTAAGAGCAGTGTGTGCAATGCCCAACTATGTAAGAGTAGTCTGTGCAATGCCCCACTATGTAAGAGCAGTCTGCAATGCCCCACTATGTAAGAGCAGTCTGCAATGCCCAACTGTGTAACAGCAGTCTGTGCAATGCCCCACTATGTAAGAGCAGCGTGTGCAATGCCCCACTATGTAAGAGTAGTCTGTGCAATGCCCCACTATGTAAGAGTAGTCTGTGCAATGCCCCACTATGTAACAGCAGTCTGTGCAATGCCCCACTATGTAAGAGCAGTCTGTGCAATGCCCCACTATGTAAGAGTAGTCTGTGCAATGCCCCACTATGTAACAGCAGTCTGTGCAATGCCCCACTATGTAAGAGCAGTCTGTGCAATGCCACACTATGTAAGAGTAGTCTGTGCAATGCCCCACTATGTAAGAGCAGTCTGTGCAATGCCCAACTGTGTAACAGCAGTCTGTGCAATGCTCCACTATGTAACAGCAGTCTGTGCAATGCCCCACTATGTAAGAGCAGTCTGCATTTCTCCACTATGTAACAGCAGTCTGTGCAATGCCCCACTGTGTAACAGCAGTCTGTGCAATGCCCCACTATGTAAGAGCAGTCTGCAATGATCCACTATGTAAGAGCAGTCTGTGCACTGGTACAGCACTCTGCAATGCCCCACTATGTAAGAGCAGTCTGCAATGCGCCACTATGTAAGAGCAGTCTGTGCACTGTGGTACAGCACTCTGCAATGCCCCACTATGTAAGAGCACTCTGCAATGCCCCACTATGTAAGAGCAGTCTGCAATGCGCCACTATGTAAGAGCAGTCTGTGCACTGGTACAGCACTCTGCAATGCCCCACTATGTAAGAGCAGTCTGCAATGCGCCACTATGTAAGAGCAGTCTGCAATGCGCCACTATGTAAGAGCAGTCTGTGCACTGTGGTACAGCACTCTGCAATGCCCCACTATGTAAGAGCACTCTGCAATGCCCCACTATGTAAGAGCAGTCTGCAATGCGCCACTATGTAAGAGCAGTCTGTGCACTGGTACAGCACTCTGCAATGCCCCACTATGTAAGAGCAGTCTGCAATGCCCCACTATGTAAGAGCAGTCTGCAATGCGCCACTATGTAAGAGCAGTCTGTGCACTGTGGTACAGCACTCTGCAATGCCCCACTATGTAAGAGCACTCTGCAATGCCCCACTATGTAAGAGCAGTCTGCAATGCGCCACTATGTAAGAGCAGTCTGTGCACTGGTACAGCACTCTGCAATGCCCCACTATGTAAGAGCAGTCTGCAATGCCCCACTATGTAAGAGCAGTCTGCAATGCGCCACTATGTAAGAGCAGTCTGTGCACTGTGGTACAGCACTCTGCAATGCCCCACTATGTAAGAGCACTCTGCAATGCCCCACTATGTAAGAGCAGTCTGCAATGCGCCACTATGTAAGAGCAGTCTGTGCACTGGTACAGCACTCTGCAATGCCCCACTATGTAAGAGCAGTCTGCAATGCCCCACTATGTAAGAGCAGTCTGCAATGCGCCACTATGTAAGAGCAGTCTGTGCACTGTGGTACAGCACTCTGCAATGCCCCACTATGTAAGAGCACTCTGCAATGCCCCACTATGTAAGAGCAGTCTGCAATGCGCCACTATGTAAGAGCAGTCTGTGCACTGGTACAGCACTGCCAATGTGTCTCGTGCTCCATGTCTGTCAATGCCCCCCCCCTCCACGAAGGGGAACGTGCCCCGCGCTCCCGACATGCCTTGCGGCATGACACGAGTCGCTCCGCCATTGAAGCCGCGCGTCCCGCTCAGGACGCTGTGTTCGGCTCTCGTCGTCGTTGCCGACTTGCAGCTCGCTCGCACCCATTGCACGCTTCGCCGCTCTCCTCGTAACACCCGGGGAAGGAGCTTCGAGCGTCCATCGAGCCTCGCCGCCGTTGCAGCAACGTGGCGAGGGTGGGAGGGGGAGTCGGGTCTTCTCGGGGCGCAAGCGACGCTGTATCCGGCGGATCGGCTAGACCAGGCCGAGGCTTGGGCCTTGCACACATCGGAGTCTCCCTCCGCGAGCCTCCGCTGGCGGCGTTCGCTCAGATATGCGACCAGTTCGCGGGGTAGCGACGGGGAGACTGTCTGAGGAATAAGCGCACGCACGGATGCATTGAGACGTCAGCTGCGTAGCGTTCGCGGTGAGAGTGAATTAAGTTTTATTGGGGTCTCTGTTCTATAGGGTCGCTTGGGGTTGCAAGGGGAGTCCTTGAACGGGTGTGAGTTGGGAAGCTCGATTGGTGGTGTGGTGAGAGGGAGTGAATTTGCTCGGGGAAGCGATTGGGAGTGAGTGAGCGGGTTACGTTGCGTTTTGCTTTGTGGTCTTGCGTTTGGAATTTGATGTTTTGAGGAACTTTGCTTTGAAGGTCGGTTAAGTTTAGCAAGGACTTTGTTTTGAACATTTTGTTCGTCGGTAGGTGAATTATGTTGAAGTTAGGTGTGATAGTTGGTCGGTGAGTTGCTTACATGGTAGATTAATTGGTTATGCGATTGTTGATTTTGGGTTCATTTGGTGAGTCCTTTTGAAGGCGGGGAAAGTTGGTATGTTGGTTCATTGGTAAGTGGGTTATTTTTGGGCTAGGGCTCGTATTTGGTGGGTTGCGTTGTCAGGTGTGGTAATTAGTAGGTAACTTGTTTATAACGCGGGTCAATTGTCTGGTGGGTAACTCCAAAGGGGGCTTAGGTGAGCGTTGAGCGAAGCTTTGGTGCGCTCTGCGTGGCGCGGGCTGCATCGTACGAACGCATCGCTTAATGCGTGACATGGGCAGTAGCATGTGCAGCCGTCGCAAAGGTTTCCTTCAGAGCGCCTTTCTGCTGCTCACCGTGGCCGCCTTCGTCTATGGGGCCATCATGTACAGCGAGCTGCACGGCAAGACGCGGCGAGCTGAGAGTCTGGCGCAGAAGTATCAGCAGCAGCAGGAGTCCCTGGCTGCTCAGCTTCAAGGTAGGTGCCACACGCCACTGACTGGGTGGGTGGGTGGTGGTGGTGGTGGTGGTAGGTAAGAGTTCATGATCGTGGCGACTAACTACGACTGCAGGGTTATGCGTGCTGACATGTTGTGGTGAAGTTATGGTTGTATAGGAGCGGTTGCAGGAAGATTTTTGTGTGTGGCTAAATTGTTTTTACAGTTTGTGGCTTTGCTCTCCAACACACCGGTGTTGCTGTACTAGTAACGAATTGGCATGTTCTGTTTACGTGACAAACCTTACTAATTGGTGGTGGCGGGTTTAACGACACGTATATTTAAGCGATCTAACCCCCCAAAAAAACCTGTGTTATGGTTGTATTTACAATTTAAAGTAGCGTTGACCGAAACTACAATGCCATTATAGTTGCAATTAATCACGAACGACACAATTGCAATTTACCCACAAGTTTTGGGTTAAGTGGGGAAAGGTTTTTTTTCCCTGCGACCCAGATCAGAGGTTGCCTCGACTGGTATGTTGCCCAGGGCATCCAAAACACATTTTGGCGGCCCCATGTTTATGGATCTGCACACGTGTCCATGTGCATACGAGCGCTTGACTCGGTAAAGATGTCCGTTGAGATCGCAGTCTGGGATAGACTGAGCACAGTGTTATAAAAAATATTAAATATCCCAGAGTCAATGCAGTGGGTAAGTTGTTCGATAGCGTAGGTGACACGTATGTATAAGTAGGTATGCGTCAATTGGATTGTGGAAGAGTAGGTCAAATACCCTCCTCTCGAGCACCCTGTAGCACCATGTAGTGGCATGAGAAAGTTATTTCAGGGCTGCACATTGAGATTTACATATATATGACAAAAGGTTAAGGTGTAGCCCTAAAGGTGTGAGAATATTGAGTTTCCACCACAGACTGGTAATGTCGATTAGCTGTGGTTGCCTACCCGTACAATGCTTGTTTTGGGTGGTGGGTATGGTTTGATTTGCCTTTTTTGTCTCGTGCATTCTTCACCCATGGATTTGGCTGCGTGCAGTGTTTGCGGACATTCATCTGTTGGTTGCTGCTGTGGTAAACATTGAGCACAAATGCCGACTTGTAAATCACAGTCACCGCTGGAAAGATGTTCCCCGTTACTGCTGATGCCTCGCGGTCTAGAAATCGGGTTCTCCCCAGCCTCCCATCAATCTCTCTATTTCCATTGTGTACAATAAGCTCGTTAGGCAGACAGCTCGGTGGGTGGTGACTCTAATCCTTGCCCGATGTTAGAGTAGATACTTTGCTCTGCTGTTGGAGACCCAAACTGGCAATGAGAAGTAGTTTTTCTTGGGTATTTTCGTGATTCCAGGCAATTTGTCTTTAAAAAGTAAATATTAACCTAAACACAAATCCTCAAATAACTGCCCCGAAAAGGAACCGTATATCTTATTTTAAATGTGCCATTTCGGGCAATGGCCCATCTTAGTAGCAGAGATATAATACGTTAGAAAGTCACAGCCGTTTATCAATACACTTTTGGGGAGGGGGCAGAAGGCCACCTTATGCTGTGTCGTCAGTCATGGAATGTTTTGACCATACTTTACCATGCTGCCCAGTACGGGTTGACAAGGCATAATTGTGCCACTGGTCACCCCCCCCCCCCCCCCACATAATTATGTCGCCATTGGATAAGCCTGCAATGTTTGCTGTGAATCGTCAACATAAGCCACCTGGAGCCGTCGTCACCCAAGTGACGAAATTGTCTTGACACACATGTCTACATTTGATACCATTGTGCTGAAAATGAGGGCCATTGTATGAAACCAGTATTATAGGCTTGGGTCACACTGAACATTAAACATTGTTTTCTGCCTTTGTATATACATAGCATATGTGCAGGTTATGTGCAGTATTATATGCTTGACTCAGGGAGGAGGACGCCCCTGCCATGCATAGTCCCATGGGATGTTGGCTACCAACAACAAGGCAACTCCTATGACTAATTGGGAATGGGACGCAAGCGTAGGATTGATCACCCTGTCGCTGGCCGCCTTTGGGGAGGGTGTATAGTATGAAAGGCCGAAACACCCTAGGAACCAAAGGGTCACTACTGACGATGCGCTCCCCAAATTTCACCAGGCTCACTGTTCATGAACTCTTGGAAGTGCTTGCACAAAGGATAGTAACATCTCATCCTGTGTTCTTTGGAATCTGAAAAAAAAAAATTTGTGTTTACGATATTCTTTGAAAGAATATGAATTCCTGCAGTCACGAAAGCTTTGTGTTTACGAGTTTTTTTTCCCCGGAAGTATTGTAGCTGTTTTTAGCTTGCGTTTACACCTTTGTAGCTTCTATTCTTTGTGCAACAACAGGAATTTCCCGTACCACTAGTAATATGCTATTAACAGCAATATGCAGTTCACAGCAATGCTTCATAAGTTTTGGCATTCCTATAGAAAATGTATTCCCAACCAGTGGTCTGTTGATTGCAGGAAGGGCATGCTATTCGTGCTGATTGGTTCATTTGTAACTCAGCTATTATGCTGACTGTACAGTACTGCAATGTGGTGTTTGTTGTTATATATTAGCCAGAATGCTGGAGTTAAACGCAAGTGCAATACTAACAGAGGGAGTAGTGTTACTATGCAAAAAATATTGTGCATCATAATGTATGATTTATACCGCACCTCCCAGGCAGTACATGTCAAGCCATCCAATCAATACTTACCAATACAAATCAATACTTACCAGAAATCCATCATCAGCGATCCTACAATCCTTCAATCCGGATCTGACCTACCGAGCAAGATTTGGTCCTTGAATCGGATCCGGACACTCCATGGAAGATGTTTGAGACACTTTCTGCAGAATTGGAAAATTAACGAGAGTCCAGTCTGTGACTGTGGTGGTACGACATCTCAGACCCTGCAACACATCGTGAACGACTGCCCAATCAGATCGCTCAGCGGCGATCTCAATCAAATCCACGCGGCCACTCCTGAAGCAGTCGAATAGATATCAAATCTCGACATCAATTTGTAATCTGTGGCAATCCCCAAAAATGCCATACGAAAGAAGAAGAACGCTTGCCCGACACAGCTGCTGTATGTACTCTATAGTAGTGATACTAACTTACAGAGCTTTGTTCATACACTTCTGGATGGATGAAGACGTTCCCATGTCATTCATTTGTGGGTTTTTTTACTATACGCTGGTAAATTCGAGTTGATGAAGGGGATAAAATAAAGACCGGTTCAGATATTGGCTGTGGCTGGGAATTGAACTCGGGTCGCTGTATTTATAGCAGTGTGCGGACCATTGTTCGACCCCACTATAATGTGTATACAGTTTAAAATATGCATCAGTCAATTATTTTACAAGGTCGTTTTAAATTCACAGTATAATCCCAAATATCAATAAAGTGGTACGTGTATCAACTATAGCGTTTTTGAACTGCATGATTCGGTGTCTCTCTCACAATCTTTTCAGAGGCTGGGTAATATGGATCGTGAATTATTCTTGGACCTCACCTCTTGCTTGCTTTTAGCATCGTATCACCGTCAGGATTAATGGCCTGGCGATTACCGAGAATTGGTTTGAGTGTGCGTATGTGAATACGTTTTGGCACATCAGCTGTGATTTGGAAATAGAAAATTGCTTACTCTTGTACCTTATTCACTCTTGTCAATTTGTAGACCACGAAGCCGTTACAGTGTTGTATAAAAAAAATGCATTCAACTTGCTGAGCTTGATAAACTGCTGCAGAATTGCCTTTCAATATGTTACAGCCAATAGTGGCGGCATAGCTGTGGCTTCGGGTTAATGTGGCTATTTTAAAAGTTTGGTACTTTATAAGAACATTTTATAGCCTTGGGCTTGACAGTCACCACATATCATCCCATTGTGTGGACATTGTTGTGTGGCTTTCTCAACTCTGTGTTGAACGTTGCATGCTGATTTTATACTGCACATTGCACATGCGAGTGTGAATTGGTGCCCCGACGCAGTGATGGGTGTGGCGAGTAGTGTTTACGTTGATGTTATACATTGGACGGTAGCCGAATTCAAATATGAATGAAGAAAATTAATGGGCAGTGGTGTACACGTAGCGTCAAATCCGTCAATGCTGCGTTACAAGCAGTGGTGTAGTGTGGCAGGCATGGCCCACGCTGCAAGGAGTTAAATGGGACCGCCTGTCTAATTTCCCCTTCCTCGTCCTCGTAGCCTGGTGTGTGTGGGGGGCCCCCTCCGGCCACTCGGCCTGGTGCAGTTGCACAGCCTGCACACGATAGCTACGCCACTGCTTGCAAGAGACCACGCCAAAGTGGGTTTACGTTTGGGTAGTAGCTCTTCTTGCAGAGCTGAGCACAGAAAGTTGGAAGATTTTATTTTTTATGTCGGGTTTTCGCATTCTCGGTCTATTTTTTTTATTCCATACAGAAGCAATCTCCTACGGGCCACAGTTTTCGTTTTGTTCGTGAATGTCCAATGCTGTCATGTAATTGACCCGTATTAACGTCCAACTGTGGATTTTGGATAGTGGTTGGGACAGGTAAAGCTTATGGTATAATGACCTAACAACCACTTGTCAATTTAAGTAGTTGCTCTGGAGGAGATTCGTCGTGAAAGCCGATCCTCCTGAAGGCAGCTCCTGAAACGTGAGCTCGGCTCTGCTGTGAACCCACCCACTCCGATTGAAGCTGCCAAAGTGGTCGAACCGGACGGTAAAAGGAGGGAGAAAACCCTGCACTCCAAGGCCCACTTGCAGCTGAACTATCCATCTTTTTTTGATGGGGGGGGGGGGCTCTCGTGTGGCCCAGCTGTGTGAGTGTACCCCCAGTGTTGTTGCGTATTCAGCTGTGGGGAGGGAGCGCTTGTGCGTGCACAGGTTTGCACCCGCCGACCCTGTCCGAGTTTGTGTGTGTGTAGGGTAAACAACAGCAGCTTCCGCAGAAATTGTCTCTCTCCACAGCCTCACAATGAGTGTGTGTATTTGGCGGTAGCTGTTGGCATCCCGTGGTCTTGTGTGCAACGTTTTCTCAG